TTCAAATGAAATGACATATGTACGTAACTTTACGTACGAACTTAATGGGGCCGGTTATTGACAGCCTATGAACTTTTATTAAATACGTCGTTCAAGTTTTAACCAAGTATTTCCAGATTATTAAAACCATACACTGGAATTCTCGTCAATATCAAATATTCTTAGATGAGGAAAAATGACAAAAATTCATGTATTTTTGTATTTATCACGTATTTCTCCATATTCCGGTCTAGTTTCTTCAATGAGATCACATATATAAACGTATGCATTCCCTCTCATAAGATTGACAAGAGTTGTCTTAAATAAATTTGATTGACAATTTTTTTCAATACACTTTGCAAATGAACTTGCTCTAATTCTACATTTCACATTTTTCTATTTTTCTTTATCAGATGTTCCTTCACTTTTTCTTTTTATAGTGTTGTTGTTGGACTGGATACTTTATGAGGAGATTTTTCTGAAAATTTATCCGAATTAATTTTGTCGCCTCTGCAAGTAATAGATCTTCTGCAAATCGTAAGAAATAAGAAATCTGGTTAAATAACTATCGTTATGCTTTCCGTTGAAATACGAACGAATAAAAATATGTGTACATTTAAGAAAAAACGTTTAAAGGATTCTTATAGTAGAAAAATGTTTTTGTTAAGATCATTACACAAAAGCATTAAGAAAATAACTTTAAAAAGATGCAGACATTGTACTTCATGTTTTAATGTATTATCATATATATTTTTTTTCTGGGACAAGTTCGTGCGTGGATGATAAATTAATTCAATTTTATAAAATTCCGTAGAAAGTATTATCTTATTAACTAATGCATCAATATAAATTTCTGTTCCCGACAAACGCATCTTGAAATAAATTAAATGTGAATTCATATATGCTCAAGAAGCAAATCGTGTACACCATAATTTTACATCCGGGCGTTTATTTGAATCTATCTTTTAAACCTAATTACTTATAAAAACAAATGATAACTGAGAATAAAATCTCACTTTAGATTTCATTATTTTCATTTTTCCTGACTCAATTTTGATATAGTAATTTTGAAAATTAATGTCATTTTATTATGATGTAATAATACTTCCATTATCGATATTTACATTACATGCTGTTTAGTTTGTCGCCAATGTATGACCAATGAAGTTCTATAAAGGTATATAGATTTATTAGTATTATCAGAGACATATATACACTGTGTATATATGTCTCTGGTATTATTTAGCATGATGTTATTTTAGTTGCTCTTATAGTAAACTAGAAGTATTGTAAGTTAAGCTCACAAAATAATACCACCATGATCCCAATGTGCAAAGTCTATGGTTTGTACCATAATCTTTTACCCACCTCGGGGAAAAAAACAAAATCGGATAATACAAACAAAATATAAGATGCGCAATGGTAAAGTATGGGCAAGGTTAAAGGGGGAGTTGTTGATATAAAATGGGTACCCTCCCCACATACACCAATGTCAAAGTCTGTGATTTGCTAATGGAAAGCCTAAAATGTAACCCAGGTAACAACAAAATAAAAGGTGCACAATGGCATTATATTCAGAGAATATTGTTTTACATTCATGTCAAATTTTTCAAGGAGAAGCCAATAGTAATGTGGTGTACTGTAGTGTGCAGATATAACAAAGTCCATATCAAAGTTAATTCCAAAAATCATCAGAATGGAGAAATAAAAGAGATAATTTAAACATTATGTGAGTCAGAGTTTGTGAAAGTTTAAAAAATCTTAAAACCTAGGTAAAGTTTCATTGGTAAGCATTTTACATGTGTCGTAATGCCCATTGATATCACAAATCATATATAGCCATGCCTTACTCATTAACATATCTAAGGCAAACAAAGCTACGATTCGTAAAAGGCGTGATATATATATATATATATATATATATATAACTTGTCGCCAAGTCTATCACGATTATCTCCTCGGGTTAAAAAATCAAACTGGTGCGTTATATAGTTGATAAAAATCTTAGGTATCATATCATAGTAATTTAATCTCAAGAAAACTAATCTCTTAGAATTTTGTTATGTCATAACCATTCTTAGAAATGTGTATCCTATATTTAAGTTCTGTGTAGTCTTTGGCTTGATAGATTCTTATTCAAGTATGTAAGTGGATACTTTAAAAGTTACTTCCTTTTCTATGTGTTGTCAGTTTTCAGGTAAGATAGGTGTAAAAAGATCACTAAGTCTTAATTGTGTATTTTTACAATCCAAATAAAACTGATTGGAACCTTTTTTGTTCCATTGCAGAACATATACATATGATTTTCATATGATGAAGACATAATCTTTCAATCAGTTAAATTGAGGTCTGGAGCTGGCATGTCAGTAACTGCTATAATAGTCCTTTGTTAATTTATGTACCATTGTCATTTTGCTTAGTTTCTTCTGTTACCTATTCTGACATCGGACTCGGACTTCTTTTTGACTGAGTTTTACTGTGCGTATTGCTGTGTGTTTGTTTATTCTACATTGGCTAGAGGTATAGGGGAGGGTTGAGATCTCACAAAACATGTTTAACCCCGCCGCATGTTTGTGCCTGTTCCAAGTCAGGAGTCTTTGTTAGTCTTGTATGTTTTTTTTAATTTTAGTTCATTTATATGTTTAGGAGTTTAGTGTTACGTCCATTTTCGCTGAACTGGTACACATTTTTGTTTAGGGGCCAGCTGAAGCCCGACTCCGGTGCGGGATTTTCCGGGGCTCGCTGTGTTGAAGACCAATTGGTGGCCTTCTGCTGTTTTCTGCTCTTTTGGTCGGGTTGTTTTCTCTTTGACATATTCCCCATTTCCATTCTCAATTTTACGTATAATCTATATCTAAGTCATAGAATATTGTTCAGTATAGACACCACCCTCAAATCCCATCCCCTTGTTCTTGAACCGGAGACACTAATTTACAATTCAATTAAACAATAAGATGTGTAGACTTGTAGTTTAAATAGAATCGTCCGTACGTCAGCCATTACAACAAGAATAGGAATTTTTCTACACCCTAAAATAGTACAAATCTTTTATTGCGACTTCATAATGAAAATTTGTTTGAATAATCTCTATATTTCTTGGCTTTACTGTTATGAATCGCAGTTGATAGTTAAACCTTTAAAATTATCAAAATGAAACTACTTGATAGATATAGTCAACACTACCTACAAATATATAGATCAAAGTTTTCCGTGAACGATCCCATGTCTGTGTGTCTCTTTAGTTACACGAGTCAATTTTTCTACCTAAAACCGCTTGGTATGCTACTTATTTTTCTCTGCGGTATAAATGTAATTGTATTTTTACAATCTCTGTTTTGTTCTTCCAGCATTTTATGACACGAACGTCATTATGTGCTGATAGTTGTTCTTCTGTTTCCTTGGAATTGTCATCTTATTTCTGTTAGTTTGGATACGGTATGATCTTTTATTTATTCTATTCACAGTAGCTGTAGCTATATAGCTTTCGCGGTTGATCAGCGGTAGCACTGTCACTCTCACAATATTCTGAAACAAGACACCTTTGCGACGCATAGTTTTGAGTTTCAATTGATATAAAGTTCGAGTTAAAGTTTGAGTTCAACTTCGAGTTAGGGTCAAAATTCGAGTAAGAGTTTATGTTGCAGTTTGATTTGACATCTAGAGTTCGAGTAATTTCGAGTTAGAGTTCTTAATTAAATTAAGTTGCCTCCGGAGATACATCTGTAATATATTTTGAAATTCAAACTGAATTTTTTTTTTTAGAATTGTTACCTCATATTAAGATAGTGCGTTGCATATCAACGATTTCAAAACCTTTTTCAGTTTGTTCTTCCGTCAGTTTTTCACTTTGAATGCATATTATTTCATCACATGCAATACTTCTTTCGGTGTAGGTTTTTATCGATGATAGGTCAATTAACGATAAGTAGACTGTAATTAATTAGATTGATTAATTGATCATTGATTGTTAGTGTTTAACACCATTTTCAGCATTCATGGCTATATCAAGGTGGACAGGTTTTATTAGCGGAGGAAGTCGTAGTATCCAGAGAGAACCACCGACAATTGACAGGAATCTGGCAATCCTACTTTTAGAATTAAGATGATAGTCCAGCGAACTCATAACCTGATAACGGGACCTCGGTATCAACTGAACAGGATAGAGATCACTATATTGGATGTTTAAATTACACTTTATCCATCGTTGTCGGATTGCTTAAATGTACTATAATATATGTATGTGTTGATTACAATCTTACAGTTCCCTTTAAGATATGTAATCCTCCATACGCATCATACATGTCATATGTGTGTTATCTTTCTTTCTTTCTTTTTAATAAATGAGGACGTCGTATACATGTTTTAAGTATTTTTTTTAAAATCCAAACAGCTGAAATCTGGCATTTAATGCATTACTTGTTTCTTTTATGTACATACGTATATTAAGAATATATAAGTCGATCCTGCTTCTTCATATAAAAAGTGCATCATCTTTCTTAAATCTCTTTTACAAATAATTTTTTCTGCACTTATTATTTTCCAAGCTCTCTTTCCCCATTTAGAATATATTTTGAAAATTCAATTCAAACTTAATTTTATAACTCGTACTTTAACTTGAATTTTGACTCGAACTCAGCTAGAGTTTAACTATATAATTGTAACTCGAAGTCGAAATCGAAGCGCAACTCGAAGTTGAACTATATAATATATTATAGAAGTCGAACTCAATCTCTAACTAGAACTCTCGAGCATCAACTCGAACTTTAACTCGAACTCTAACTCCAACTCGATGGTCAGCTGCACTCGCTATTTTTTCATATTTTTATTTTAGGAATACCGCATTTGATTTTTATTTATAACTCACGCATTCATGGTTTGGGAATTCCCCTTTCTAATTTTAACAAGCGTCAAGCAAGCTGGACAAAAGGAGGTAAAACGTGTCTCCAGAAATAGCAACAAAAATGGCAATTATTTTTAAATCTGTGTCATCCTCACGTTCTGAATTTCGTTTTTGATTTCCTGCCAACTTTTTTAATTGTATCACTCCATGTATATAAATGTATTCTAATTGAATACTATGGACACCCAGTTTCAGTTTGTAAGTGAACAAGCCGGTTCGTAGAAATACCACAGAATACCGCAAAATACCACAAAATTATTTGCTTTCGTGTCGATCCAGCCCCAAGTCGATCCGTCCCAAGTCGTTCCGTCCCAAGTCGATCCGGCCCCAATATAAAAAAATATTTATAAGGAATAAGAATAAAGACATATATGTAATCATATTAGAAAAACTGTGTAAATTTATTAAGAAGGTCCAAGAGAAGGTCGTTCCTCCAGGTTAGAATTTTTTAATGTGTATTAATTTATACATGTATATGTAATTCACACATGCACCATACATTTGTATATTGTGAACATGTATATGTTCTCTGTAACATTTGTTTTATGAGAATAAAAGTATTCATTCATATTCAATTAAATAAAAACTTGTTTCCCCCATGATATTCCAAGTTATCATGGAAAACAACTTCATATTTATATGCTGATGCTGCTTTTCAAACAGTACCAATCATACTCATTTTGTATAGATTTAAAATATTATAATTCATCTATATGTAATAGTCCAATATTACTTCACTTACCTGCTGTCATTAAGCATCAATATTTTTTACAAATTCCGTTGATCCTGATTTAAATATGTCACCAAATCCTCCGAAGTTAACATAGATTAGTCATTATTTTATTATGTGTCCGGATCGATGTGGGCTGGATCGACTTGGGACAGATCAACTTTGAGCTGGATCGACTTGGGGGCGAATCGGTAGGTGGCCTGAACAACCTGATACCAATTATTTTATACATGTATTTCTTAAAAAAAAATTGCTATGTTCTAGTTAGATTGAAATATTTTTACCTGAATAGTTTCCAGATTAATCAAATGACATGTTTCTTATGTAAATAATATACAGGAAAAAGGAGGTCTGGGTTTCTAAATTAAAAATGCTCTAAAAAATATAAAAAATTACTAAATGTAAAGCTTTGGGTATCAAATTTCAATTTCAGAACATATATTGTTTAAAGAAAATATGGCATCTTCAAACAATCATACTTTTTACAGTTTAACTTTAAAAAAAAATGTATCAAGTTCAACAATTTTAAGAGTTCAGGTATATTATTTTGAAATGAACCTTTGTTGACACATGCAGGGAAACATTTATATTCAAAGCACCATCATTGACTAGAACAGCCTATATATGTACCTCCTGAAGCCTTCCATGCTACATGCCTAGAATGCTGCAAGGAGCAACTTCAGACGCTACACATGCTACAGCTGTTACAAACAGAAACCACCTAATTTTATCCTATGTTACTTGCACTTGTATAAAGAAAGCACTCAGGTTGACGTTTGCTCTGCGTTATGGATTTCCACTGCACCAACAAACTTAACCAGTTAAATGTTTATAGCATTTCAACGATATTGAAAAATAAACTTAATTTCCATTTTCTTAGATATATATATATGAAAAAAGAAAGGAAAAGTATCATGCAACCCTTCAATTAATCCTCTTTACACACATTCATTGTACAACATATACAACTTAGGTTAAAATACATAGGAAATTATGAGAAGGTCATAAAAGGGGAGGGGTTTGTATGTGTATGGATGAACAGGAAATAACTTATGAAAAAATAAAAAATAAAAATGAAGCTTGAACATTGCTCTTTTCACCATTTTGCAGGTAACACAGTGAATATAGCTTCAAGTGTGAAAATGCCCCTTTAAGTGACCCTCTATGAGAGCTATATAAAATAAAAGAATTTGAAGAGTTATCAAACATGTTGTCATTCTAATTGAAGCTCTTCCACAAGAACACTTACCTAATATAAAGCATCCACGGGAAACATAATAATTTGATTATAATATAGTGTAAATTGTATCATTTATGTAATTAGTTTTTAAACTAAAATTTGTATAAAATGCAGGTATTCTATGTTATTTCTATGGACCTGTGAACCAACAGAACTTGGATGTTAAATTTTTTTTAGATAAGTTTATTACATGCATTTTATATAGTCCCAAGTCAGGTATATTCATCTGTTATTCAGATGATGCATGATGCATTGGTGAAAATTACATAACAGAGAAGAGAGAAACAATGACAGCAAACCAAGATTGACATTTGTATAAACAAAGAAAAATGAATATAATGTTGACCATTGAAATGGCTCATGTTGCTTTGTGTTGGGTTAATACATATGTGCTAGGAGTGTGCTAGTAGAAGCCTTTCAGTAGAAAATCTTTTATTAAATAAGTTGAGAATTTGTAGTTCATTTGTTTTGCATATGTCATGAATTTCAACATTTTCAGTTTTTAAATTTCAGGGTATGTATAATCATATCCATATAAGTAAATGTATGGTTATGACACAGAGAATGCCAGTTTGCCAGCCAATGCCACCATAAATGTGAATGGAACAACAGTAACCCTCAGTGAATCAAAACCATACGGTGAGTTTAATGTACTTATTTATCCTTAATTATGAATTATCTCTGCAGATGAGTGATCAGTTTCATAAAAAATCTTACTACTAAAGTTGATCATAAGTCATGATAAACTCAGTATACTGTGGATTCATTAATATTCCTGTGATACCAATTTTTGTAGATTTCGTGGGTACAGGGGGACGACAAATTTAAATGTGCAACCAAGTACAAATTTTCTAATGGAATGTTTGAACACTTTGCCAAAACCACAAAATTAAATATCCACGAAAATGCAAGTTTTCCTTAATCCACGAAAATTGGTACCAACGAAAATAAATGAGTCCACAGTACTTACCATCAACTTTAGTCATATGATTTTTTTGTGAAACTGATCACTGTTATCTGTCTTTGAAACTAGACGTGCATATTATCCATTATGTTTTCAATGAAGGATTGATATATTCAGTCAATTTTAAACTATATTTTGATCATATTTTGTTTTATTTTATCAACTTCATAGAACGAAATCATGATGTTTTGCAACTTTTTTGTTTGTTTTTTTTTTTTGCCCAGCCTATAATAAGAGGAAGGCATTATTTTCTGGTCTGTGCATCCCTTGGTTCAAAATCAGGTTTACAAGTTTTCAGCCACAGTAGTTTACCATGAAGTTTACCATGAAGTTGTGGTCACATCAACATGATCAACTTGAAACTTGGTGTAAATATTCATTATGGTGTGACTTTTTGAATTATATCCCAAATAAGGGTTTTGATCCTGATTTCAGGATTCACTGAACATAGAACTATAGTGCAAGCAGGGCACGGTGTCCGATGCATTCATATTCTTGTTTAGTTGTATTTCAAAATGTATATGACAAATACATTAAATCTTTTTATACTCGAGTACAAAATTTATACACCTCAGATTATTTCCACATCGTTAATTATGGTTTTTTATACGACCGCAAAAAATTTTTGCGGTCGTATATGGGTATGACGTTGGTGTCGTCGTCGTCGTCGTCGTCGTCGTCATCCGAAGACACATTGGTTTTCACACTCTAACTTTAGTTTAAGTGAATGGATCTCTTTGAAATTTTACCATAAGGTTAAATACCACAAAAGGAAGGTTGGGATTGATTTTGGGGGTTATGGTACCAATAGTTAAGGAATTAGGGGCCAAAAATAAGCATTTTCTAGTTTCCAGACAATAACTGTGTAACGGTGTATGGATCTCTCTGAAATTATACTACAAGTTTCCATACCACAAAGGGATGGTTAGGATTTGCTTTGGGGGGTTATGGCTCAAACCGTTTAGGAATTAGGGGCAAAAAAGGGGGAAAAACAAGGTTGTCCTGGTTAATGGACAAATACTTTAGTACAAAACATAATTTAGAGCAGTGTCAGGGATAAAGCAAATACATCATTGAAATTACCTCCCTTACACTGCTTTTAAATTATGTATAAAGTAATGGTTAATGAACAATTAAGATAATTTAAAACAGTGTAAGGGAGGTAATCCAAATACAACGTTTTAATTACTTCCCTTACACTGCTTTTAAATTATGTTTAAAGAAATGCATATTTATAAAGGAAGTAAAAATATCTGCAAATATTGCATCTTTTTTTTTTACAAAAAAATCCATATGAAAGATTTGACACTATATTTTAAATTCTTTAAAAAATAGATTATGTTAGCACTGTGGTAAATTTAAATGGGGAATTATGGTTGCAAACTCCATTGGAAATTTGAATTGAGATTATGACCATATCTTGAGGGAAAGAATTTTTTTGGGGAAAAAAGGGGAGGGGGGGGTAAAAAGAAATTGTGGGGGGTCAATTTTTTCTCATTTCAGATTTCAGAAATTAAAAAGAATTATTCTTCAAATATTATTTTTTTTTTCAAATTTCAAATATTGAAAAATTTCATGAAGTAATCTTTAGTTGCACAGTATGGCGCATTAGATTTGTAAAATCTTTGACCACATTTATTTATTTGTTATGCCGAATCTAACTGTGTATTTAGATTTTTAATTTTGGGTCCAGTTTTCAATTTGGTCTACATTAAGGTCCAAAGGGTCCAAAATTAAACTTTTTTGTTTGATTTTAACAAAAATTGAATACATGGGGTTCTTTGATATGCTGAATCTAAAAATGTATTTAGATTTTTGATTTTTGGCCCAGTTTTCAAGTTTGTCCAAATTGGGGTCCAAAATTAAACTTTGTTTGATTTCAACAAAAATTGAATATATGGGGTTCTTTGATATGCTGAATCTAACCATGTACTTAGATTTTTTATTTGTGGACCCCGCTATCAAATTGGTTCATATTGAGGTCAAAAGGGTCCAAATTTAAACTTTGTTTGATTTCATCAAAAATTAAATTATTGGGGTTCTTTGATATGCCAAATCTAACCGTGTTTTTAGATTTTTAATTTTGGGTCCTGTTTTTATACGGCCGCAAAAAAATTTTGTGGTCGTATATTGGTATGACGTTGGCGTCGTCGTCGTCGTCCGGGGTCGTTGTCGTCGTCCGAAGACACATTGGTTTTCACACTCTAACTTTAGTTTAAGTGAATGGATCTCTATGAAATTTTACCATAAGGTTCAATACCACAAAAGGAAGGTTGGGATTGATTTTGGGGGTTATGGTACCAACAGTTAAGGAATTAGGGGCCAAAAATAAGCATTTTTGTAACTTCCAGACATAACTTGTGTGTAAGTGTATGGATCTCTCTGACATTGTACCACAAGGTTCCATATCACAAAGGGAATGCTGGGATTGATTTTGGGGGTAACTGCCTCAAAATTTTAGGAATTGGGGGCTAAAAAAGGGGCAAAAAACAAGCATTTTTCTAGTTTCATGACAATAACTTGTGTGAAAGTGTATGGATCTTTCTGAAATTGTACTACAAGGTTCCATATCACAAAGGGAAAGCTGGAATTGAGTTTGGGGGTAATTGCTCAAAACGTTTAGGAAAAAGGGGCCAAAAAGGGACCAAAAATAAGCATTTTTCTAGTTTCCAGACAATAACGTGTTCAAGTGTATGGATCTCTCTGAAATTATACTGCAAGGTACCATACCACTAAGGGAAGGCTGGGATTGATTTTGGGGGTAATTGCCTCCAAATTTTTGGAATTAGGGGCCAAAAAGGGGCAAAAAATAAGCATTTTTCTAGTTTCAGGACAATAACTTGTGTGTAAGTGTATGGATCTTTATGAAATTGTACTACAAGGTTCCATATCACAAAGGGAAAGCTGTGTTTGAGTTTGGGGGTAATTGCCCTAAACGTTTAGGAATTTGGGGCCAAAAAGGGGCCAAAAAACAAGCATTTTTCTAGTTTCCAGACAATAACTTGTGTTCAAGTTTATGGATCTCTCTGAAATTGTACTGCAAGGTACCATACCACAAAGGGAAGGCTGTTATTGAGTTTGGGGGGGGGGGGATGAATCATAAGGGGGTTCAAAAAATTTCGGGGGGGATTTTTTTTTCCTTTTTTTCCTTTTTTTTTTCTTTAAAATTTTCCATTTTAAATAGGTTATTTCTGATTTATATATAAAAGCAAATAATAATGATATGGTTTGAATAGGTAAATTAAAATTTTTTAAGTTCTTAGACCACATTCATTCTGTGTCAGAAACCTATGCTGTGTCAAATATTTAATCACAATCCAAATTCAGAGCTGTATCAAGCTTGAATGTTGTGTCCATACTTGCCCCAACTGTTCAGGGTTCGACCACTGCGGTCGTATCAAGCTGCGCCCAGCGGAGCATTTTATTATCCACTTGCTGAACACTTCTTCTTGTCTTATTCACTTAAGTGATGCATAAGGTCTAAACAAACATGTACTAGTCTGTTAAAACCAGGCCATTGTGTCCAATTTATGCATATTCTTGTTCTTTGTTATCGTAGATGTATAATACTATTTCAATAGCAAAATATGTCAAGTATGTAGCAACTGTCATGACTGTATTTGTTTATATGCCCTGCCTACGATAGAAGAGGGGTTATGTTTTCTGGCTACTCTGGATTCATTTGTTTTGGTGGGTACCAATTTTCATTTATTTCAAAAAATATACATGATAAGCAAATAAGTAATCCTTAAAACATAAATTATAGTATAAGCTGATTGGGCTGTATATATATTGGAAAACATTACTGTTTTACAGTTTATCTTAAGGAACCATCTCAAAGAAAACTACCTGACCTCTATATATTTTCAGGATCAGTTTAGTTTGGAAGTGACTGTGTAAAAAAATAGTAAAAGGTTAAGTTAAAAACTTATTAATTGCGAACCAAATGAAATTTTTCCACAGAGTCATCTATTGAAAATCAATGAAAATGTATTATTTATATTGAATAAATACAACATCACATGCAGTTTTGTGAGTAAAACCATGTATTTTCATCTTTTAGAAGATACTTTTTTTTACTCAGGTAAATTAATCAATGAGTGATGTGCTTCTCTTAGAAGGTCCCAGTGAATAAACTACACAGAGAACAATAGCTATTGTATTTATTCAATGGGACAATAGAACTGACAAAAGTTTAGATAGATTGATCAATAGATGCATAACTCTGGAATAGTTTCATTTGTTTAGCAATAACATTTGTAGATATAAAGAAATGGAAAAACCAAAAGAACTTTTTCAATATTCTTTTTGTTCCTGTCTTTTGGGTATTTTAGAATGGGTAATTAGTAAACAAATTTCTGCAGGTCCTAATGACATTCTGATCTAGACTTCAAATCCACTATGTTTGTAAGGACTATTCGTTATAGTTGGACTACTTTATATAAATTTTACTAATTAATCAGGGTGACTATATCTTTAAAATAGTAAGTGTCTGTCAAACCCTTTGTCCTGTATATATATATATATATATATACATATACCAGTATTGTACATGTATATACAATTTATCAAGTTTCATATCAATGCATTTCAGATGAACCACCATCATGGAGAACGAGAGTTACATTAACAACCTGTCACACAGACTCCAGTAAACTTGATGGTATACATAGAAACATTGTTTCATTATTTGAGGGTAGAAATCTCCATTCAAATTTAGTTCAATTATGGAAAGAATTGAAAAAACAATACAATGCAGTTCTACAGAAACTTTTGACCCAGGTGGGGTCACATCAGATTATTTTAGACATGTACATGTTTTCGAAAAGAGGGCATGAGAGCTACAAGAGAGAAGTATCAGATGGACGATTTTCTAGAATTTTAGTGTTACTATTCGAAGAAATGAGTGAAGGCAATATTGATAGTACAGACACATCTTTTAATGTGAGAACTGAGAGAGATGAAAAATTTACAGACCCAACACCACCAGCATCTCCAACTTCTACCACAATATCCATTGGTGAACAGAGTGTAGATTCATTTAGTTCATTTTCAGAATCTATGGCTTTTGGAGGTTTTCCAGATGACCCATATGGAACTATGCAAGTAAGTTTTAAAAAATGTACTGTATATAATCTAGGGATGTCAACTCGGTGAAGATTTACTAATCGAGTACTCGTTGGATTTACCGAGCGATACTCGAGTACTCGCTCGGTAAAACATTTATAAAATGGAAACACAGAATTATACCCATTTAGCGTAAAACCCTCAACATTATTACCTAGGACTAGATAGTCCAAGGAATTTTATATCATAATTAATAGCCCATTTACTCAATGTGCTAATTATGTAAGCTGACAATAATATAATCAAGTAATTAATTAATATCTATAGAAAAAAATGATTACTCAAACAACATTATTTGGGAACCGTAAAAAAAACCCACACATTTAACTATTTCCAAAGGGGTGATGATTAGAACTTAATGATGCCTTCAATCGTTTTCTGAGGGCCGACACAGGGTGCAATGAATTTGTTCTTATTGAAAAATATTATCTAGTCAACTGTTTCTGGGACAAGGCGATTTCTCAACTTTTGTTAGGTAACTTACAGTCCTGTTGATGAAAATATGTGCTCTGACGGTACAGAGGTGGGGGAATGACTAAGATTAGCTATAAGTGTAAGCCTTGGAAAAGTGCCCTTGTTCATATATCCTACCTCTGTTTGGAGGAATTTTAAATGACAGTTAAGGTTCATCATAACAAACAGACAAATATGGCTGTATTTACATGCCAAAAACTACTCTTAGTACAGACTTACCTGTCCAGTTGGAAAAGTTTTAATTCCTGGCATCCACTAGATATATAAAAGTTAAATGCATTTTGTGTTTCAGAAAGATAAAATCTCTTTTGGATTTTGATGGGCATGATTTTTACACCTTCTGCAGAAAGGAAAAAAAATGCCCATCAAAAACCAAAAAAGATTATATCTTTCTGAAACACAAAATGCATTTAACTTTTATATATCTAGTTGATGCCAGGCCTTAAAACTTTTCCAACTGGACAGGTAAGTCTGTACTCAGAGTAGTTTTTGAGTGAAAAATACAGCCATATTTGTCCGTTTGTTATAATGAACCTTAAACGCAAACATTCGAATCATATTTTAATTTTTATTTATATATTTGATTAATATTTAATTTCCAGGGAGGCGCTCTCAGTAAAAATATTTTTTGTTTACGCTTAAGAAAGCAATAACATTCTAACAGGAAACGGATTAGTAGAGTATCATTTTGGTAATCGATACTCGGAACTACTGAGCGATACTCGAGTACTCGAGTACTCATTGACATCCCTAATATAATCTCATAAATGCTGAAGGTCATGCCAGGTGCTTATATTTAGTTCCTAATTACTGACAAATAGAACTTTCACTGTTCATTGGAAGATTTTAAAAGTTGATCATATGTGAGTCAAACTTGCGTAATCTCATCAGCAGAAAGTATTCTTCATCTTAAAGACTTTCCCTCTACCTAGTTCAAGACTACCTATCAAGGGAGGTCTGCAATATTCCCATTCATATAAATCTAAATTTTCTCCCACTTTTTACCATGATGATGATTATTTTAGTGACAATTATGAGGTAAAATTCTCATATTGATATGGATTAATATTCATTCAGACACAAAAAAACATTCTTAGCCGTTAAAATATAATGATTTGAACTAGATACTCAAATTATAAAAAAATGAAATATCAGTTTTATGCTGAACTGGTTTGATTTTTAGAAATTGTTTGCCTCTGAAATTTCTTATATAGAGTGAAAAATGTCGTCATACCTATTTGGGTGAGATGCTGTCTCACTAATGTATGCTAACCTCTCCTTTTTTTCATATGATTATGTTATACATGTAGTTAAAATTTAGAAATTGAAATGTCAGATAGAATTTTCAAAATATATATCATTGACAGAAATGGTAATAAGAATTTTATACGTAGACATTTTATAAATCAAAATTTCACTTATTGTCTGCTTTTTGTTTTGCATATGAAATTTGTTTTCTACCAGATAAATATTATCATGATTATTGATAATAGAATAACTGTTCCAAGGGTTCAAAATATTGAAAATTGGTCATTGAGTGACTAAAGACACTAATTCACCAATGCTCTTAGTGCATAAGTAAAAAAATGTTGTATGGTCAAGAGTTAAATATTTTTTATATTCAAATTCTTTGATTAGTTATTCTGTTTACTACATAAGAAAATAATATCTTTTTCTTTGTGTTTTGACTTCATTTTAATGCACCTTGGTTGACAACGTCTTGACACTGACACCTAATGTTATACGATATCAAAAGAGTGAAATTACTGGATTAATTTAACATTGAAATATCCATTTTTGTTTGACACTGGGCAACCAATGTAAAACTGGTAATATGGTTTAATTTTCTAATGTGTACTCTTTTTCAGGAATTTCTAGAAAGCACCCCAACTGAATCTCCTTCAGTATCTCCAATAAAAGACATACAGAGGTATTGTACATTTATATTGTGTAATTGCATGGATAACTGCATTATCCCAAAATATGAAATGAATTAGACGTTTATTATTTTTAATCTTATTTATTTTATTGTTTCAATTTTTACGAAGTTCTTTAGAATAAGAATAAATAAACTCTGTTGGTTTTTTCATTTGAATTGTTTCACATTTTGTCTTGTTTTGGCCTTTTATTGTTAAAGATTTTGCACATTGCAGAGGGACAAACTGTGACCTATAGGCTATAGGTAGGAAACTAATTTTCATGGATTTCGAGGGTATAAGTAAACTTTGAATTTTGAATGTTCAATGAAGTATAAATTGTCTTTAGGCTTGTGACATGTAGTCTTTGTCAAATCCATAAAAATACATTAATTCCTCAATCCATGAAAATTGGTACGCACGAAAATGAATGAATCCACAGTATCTACACCATGTTATAAATGTGCATGAAAGTAGAATTCAAATGATTAATTAAAAAGTGTTTTTTAACAATGAAAAAGAAATTATAAACCTTCTCATTTATATAGCCTCTCTATTTATATATATATTTATTTCTCTAATTCTTCGTCAATTTATCCCTTTCTGCACCCATTGTATAAAAAAATTTAATCAACGTGTGGTTTGTTTGATCCCAGTTCTTCATTGTGAAAATCCGATTATGACGTCGAATTTTCTTGCTTTCCTCTGAATTTCCTATTGTGACGGCATGAAAAAAGGCGACTATGCCTGATGACGTCACATAGAAAGAACACATCTTTTTGCAGATCATTCAAAAAGAAGGAATAAGTTTGCCTGCATATTGTTTGAAAATCATTAGAGAAACAGATTCCACCACCAAATCTCGTGTAATACGATATTTATCCACTCTCGACAGTTAAATTTTAAATATTTAAAACGCTCAGTGAGCCTCGCGTCTTAAATTTGAAAAATTAACTGTCTCAAGTGGATAAATATCGTATCACACTCGATGCAGTGGTAGAATCTATATGTATATATGCATGTGAATGGTAAGTCAAAATCTCTATATATAGAAATAAGACTATGTGGTATAATTGCAAATGCAAATGAGACAACACTCCACCAGAGGCCAAATGACACAGAAGTTAACAACTATAGGTCACCATATGGTCTTCAACAATAAGAAAAACCCATACCGCATAGTCAGCTATAAAAGGCCTTAAAATGACAAATGTAAAACAATTCATACAAGAAAACTACTGGCCTGATTTATGTACAAGACAATAAAAGAAAAACAAATATGATATACAGCAACAAACGACAACCACTGAATTACAGGCTCCAGACTTAGGACAGGCACCAGGTTTAACAAGTTTGTGGTTTCCCAACCCTCCATTTAGTCTGGAATAGTGGTGTAACAGCACAACATATGAAAAAACTATAAAAAAATCAGTTGAAAAGAATTTAACTCATCAGATTGAAACAAAGCAGAAAAACAAGTAACAAAAACACAGTCTAGACGTGGCAGGGTATTTATACATCCCCACAATAAAAAAGACACTAAGTACAGATCTGAGAATACTCACAGTTACTGACAGCTAGTTCAAAGCCAATAACAACTTATAAAAATCATGTATCTAAGTCTAAAATATCAATCAGTACACATCCAACATTCAATGGATGCTATATGATTATTTGTTTTCTTGACAGTGTAAACAAAAAGATATAAAAATTTGGTGTGAAAATTTCCCTCCAAAGCCAAATGCAGGGAAAATAATCATCTTACAAGATACAATATCGTTTTCAACTATGAAAAATGGCCTAGTGTTTGTATTCTATTTCATGTCTGATGCATTATCACCCAGTTTGTTTCATTAATGGATTTTTAAGGGTTTTCCGATGAATTTCACCAGTGGAGTAGGAACTATTGACCCTTTGGGGAACCTGAGGTCACTTCCTGTTTTAGTTTGTCTGGTGTTACTGTTTGTATCTTGTGGACTGTAGTTTGTCCTGATCGTTTTTCTTTTCACCATGGTGATGCCTTAAACTTTCTTTGACTTTTGGTTATTGATTTTCCCTGAAGTATCTTCTTTTTTATAAGCTGTAAAAATACAGACTTGTCTATCTGAACAATATACATATAATAGAAATTATTTTTGGTGAACCCAATTTAAATATCATCCTTCATACAAATCACAATCATAAGAAAATAAGTTAATAGAAAAATAGCACAAAATTTCTTGAGAAATTTTGGATGTAACATATCCAGCATAGCAAAATATGACAGTTATAATGTATTTGGATATTTCACAGGCATGACATGAGACGAACAGTCATGTTGGTTGAAACTGGAGCACAGACCAATGCTGGTGTATCAGGTACTGTTCAAACTATCACTCAATACAAAAGGCAATCATTATTGTCATTTACTGGCTCTCTTTCTCAGTTCACTACACTGCATGTTGTTATTTTTTTTAACTTAACACAAAGAGTTACAAATGTGCCTTTCTCACGATAACATCAATGGATCTCTATGAAATTTTACCAGAAGGTTCAATACAACAAAAGGAAGGTTGGGATTGATTTTGGGGGTTATGGTACCAACAGTTTAGGAATTAGGGGCCAAAAACAAGCATTTTTGTAGTTTTAGGACAATAACTTGTGTGTAAGTGTATGGATCTCTCTGGAATTGTACCACAAGGTTCCATATCACAAAGGGAAGGCTGGGATTGAGTTTGGGGGTAATTGTCCCAAATGTTCAGGAATTCAGGGCCAAAAACAAGCATTTTTCTAGTTTCCAGACAATAATTTGTGTTTATTGCGAACCAAATGATACTTTTCCACAGATTCACTTGAAAGTTACCTGTCGATTTAAACTTTTGCAAGTTCTTTTGTCCCATCTAATAAACTAGCTAAATATTGTTCTCTGTGTAGTTTATTCAATGGGACCTTTAAATTTCTTCCAAGAGAAATCTATCACTCACTGATTAACTTACCTGAACAAAAAATTTTACTTTCAATGATGAAAATACATGTACCAATACTAAATAAGGACTCACAAAACTGCATGTCATGTTGTATTTATTCAATAGCACAAATACATTTTCAATTTGTCCAATATAAACACAGATTCAAAAATTGAAAGTTGATTTTTGATCAAATTTTCAATATATTACATATTAAAATTTTCTTTTTTTTGTGTGTTTAACAAATAAAAACTAGAAAATGATGATGTTTAAATTAAGGCCTTCATAAATATATTCTATAACTGAACATCCACAAAAAACGTGGCCACTAACAAGCATTTTTCTTGTTTCCAGACAATAAATTGTGTTGAAGTTTATGGAAGTCTCTGAAATTGTACATTTTTCCCAAAAAGAAAATAATCTTCAAAATTTCAAAAAAATTTGGGTGGAATATTTTCAATTTTTTTTTGGAGGGGGTTCATATTTTTTTTCTTCCAGAGATTTTTCAAAATTTCAAATTATTTCAAAAAAATTTTTTGGGGGGGACAAATTTTTTTGGGGAATTTTTTTTTTTCCATAAATTTTCCATTTTTCATTGATTATTTCTGATTTATATATAAAAGCAACAAATACTGATATGACAGGAGATACACACCAAACAGGTTGTGTAAATTATTATATATGACAGACAGGGGTTAAAAAATCCAGTAGCCCGACGCCCGGGACTAGAGCATTTACGCCTCGGGCAATCAAAATTTTTAACCCAATATGCCCGACGGACTAGTAACAAAAAATTCTTGGCGTTTCCAAAATAGAAAGTGGAAAATCCCTTCATCACTATTCTATCTTAGCCAATCAGATTCAATTACGTCATCCGGGATTCCAAGAATTTGAACTGGTTTGTATAGGTCCTGTTGTACATATTTTAAAAATAGAACAAATAACTCTGGGTGGCCCGGTATCATGTATTGATCGCAATTCTCGTACTTTACATATCGATTTCTCAGTACAGGGAAGGGGGGAGGGGGGGTATTGTACATTTCTTATGCTGATATTTTCAATTAACGGTACTGGGGGTATGATGTATTGATCGGTATTGACCTGTCTTGTCGGACAGCTGTTGAGCACGAAACCAATCCATGCAACCAAATATTTCTAAATATTTTATATTTCTATATTTTAATAATTTTATTTTAAAACTATTTTCATAAATAAAGGACATTGAATTCATTTATGTCTTTCACACAATTACACTCTTGTACGATTTTTAAATTTGTTTCAGAAGTTATGGTCCTTGATATTTTGGAAAATAGTTCTTTATTTCTTTTCCCTGCAAAAACTTATAAACCGTTCAGCAAATACTTTTTTTAAATTTTTATATGTTGTTATTAGTCCCCTACCGACAAAGTCGAAGGGGACTTAAGGTTTGCACTCCGTCTGTCTGTCTGTCCATCTGTCAGTCCGGCAAATCAGTTTTCCAAACTTTTTTTCTTCGTGCTTTAAGATATTGATTTGAAATTTGGTTTATTGATTTATCATGACAAGTTACAGGTCAAGTTCAATTTTCACGATTTTAGCTTTTCTCTTTGTTCAGTTAAAGCCCTTTCCCTAGAATTAAATTTTTGATGAAATACTTATTAATATTTTTATGTAGTTTACCCCATGACAAGTTATAGATCAAGTTAGAATTTTGTTTCATTACAATGAATTTGTAACCGGTAGGGGACTATGTATTGCCATGCAAAACTCACAGAATGCTTGCTAATGACAAAATGGTGGTGAAGAACCATATTGATTGTTTTTACTTTTGCCGTTCAGGAGTAATGGTCCATCATAGATTGGAAAATGGCACTATAGTCATTTCAGTGCATTAACTTATGAACTGTTCAACCAATGCTTCTAAAATTTTAGTATGCTGTTACTGATAAGAAAATGGAGGTCAAGTTAAAAATTGATGATTTACACTTGTGCCGTTCAGGAGTTATGGTTTTTGATAGATTGGAAAATAGGCACAAAATGTTGCAGATTAAACAAGCCTGAAAGTGCCTTCAAGATACAGAAAACGTGTTTTGCTGTCAATTTGACAGCTTATGATGTCTGATATTCCATATTGAAAAAAATTAAGCAGGGCCATCCATAACCAATTTAGGGTGCAGGGACAAGCAGTTCTACATATGTTTATTTGAATAAGATTGACAGAGCAATACTCATTGATATACCTAACCTATTTGTTTATGCAATCAAACATGAGATATTTTATGTCTTCGATTTTTATTTTCAGTATAATGAATATAGTGGTATGAAATGCTTGAACAAGAGACAACATTTTTTTATTTGTTTTTCTTCCAAGTTCAAGGTTTATGCTTTATGGATATTTATACATTTTAAAGGCACTTCTCAACTTTTAAATTCCTGAGTCCATAACTTGGAAGAATCAAGCTTAAGCCAAGTGTAGCAACTGGGTCTCAATTCATGTTTTTTTATATAATTTTCAGAAATGCTTGGTCCTGTGCCATTGTCTTCAAGACAGATGCAGCAAATGAAAAATCAGCTGGAAGCATCCATGACAAGAAGGCTTACTGATGTGAAAAATACTCAAGCGAAAGACAAGATGGATATTGTGCGAAGAATTGACAAATTAGAAAAAAATATAAAGCAGAGCAATGAAACATCTGAGCTGATGCTGGCTTCACAAAAAACAGCTGTAGACGAAGGACTTGATCGAACTCGCAGAACTTTACAGGGTCTTTCTGAAAAAGTTGATGACATGGAAAGAATGTTTGAAGAGAAATTACAATTAATGACTGAAACAAAGTCAGGTCAAAGAGATACGGAAAAAATTCAAGATTTAACTCAAGAGGTTAAGGACTTCAGGAAAAATTTTGATATGTATCAGCAGGAAACAACAAAAAGGTTAGACCTTGTTGTAAATACAATTACTGAAGTGAAAACTGCAGTAGAAAAATCATCGTTAGATATCAAAGAAGCATTAACACGTTTTACCAATTTGAAACCACTGCCAATTTCTCCTCCTTCTAGTCCTAGATCTGATATTCATGTTCACTTGCAATCTAGTCGGCGTCCTGAACCTCATGATCCCTCATCTACATTACCCAAAACATTAAGTCATGCAGATTCTCATCTCAGTTCAACTAGACTATCAGAAAGTACTCAGAGAGTAGACCAACCACAAGATTCTGATGATTTTTCAAGTATGGGTAGACAAGGTATCCGATTAGGTGCTGAAATGTTATTTCAAAGAGATGATAATGTCAATAATGTGCATTCGACGTCAACACAAGATTATATCAAACTGTCAGAACAGCGTCAGAGATCGGAAATGCAAAGTGATATAGGTAGAACTTCTACTTCATTATTACCAAAAACTCCACCAGAGCTTGAAGAGGCATTGAAATTTGCTGAAGAAGAAGGGATTTTGCCAAAAATTGGGTTAGAAGAAGAAAATCTTCAAATAGAGGAAAGAGAAAGTGCTCATTTGCCAACAGTTGAAGGTGCTACTGCTTTTACTGATGAACATATGTATGACAATGGGCAAACTGAACCACTGTCACCACTCAGTACACATGGTACAGAACCTTCATTGAATGGAGACCCACAGCCAATCCAGGATGAACAAACTATTATGACAGAAGTTCAAAGAACTACCCATGCAGGTATATGTGTATTTTCAAAGAAGCAAATTCCATTTTAATCAGATATTTTTTTGAAGACACCACTGATGCTGATACAACAGTCATGTAATTTTTTTAAGTGGAAGAGAATATACTTTCCTTTTCTGGAGCACACAAGTTCACTTCCAGTTTTTTTATGGTAATGTTTTGTAGATTATTGTTGCCTTTTCTGTTTTTTGTTGTATTGGTTTATTTTTTTCTTTCTTTAAAGCCCACACTTTTTATAATGACCTCATGATCACAGTATGTTTGGATCAAATTAAACTGTCATGGCAATAAAATGTTATCAGGTGTAATTTTTATTATACGACCGCAAAAAAAATTTTGTGGTCGTATATTGGTATGACGTTGGCGTCGTCGTCGTCGTCGTCGTCCGAAGACGCATTAGTTTTCGCACTCTAACTTTAGTTTAAGTGAATGGATCTCTATGAAATTTTACCATAAGGTTCAATACAACAAAAGGAAGGTGGGGATTGATTTTGGGGGTTATGGTACCAACAGTTAAGGAATTAGGGGCCAAAAAGGGGCCAAAAATAAGCATTTTCTAGTTTCCAGACAATAACTGTGGAACGGTGTATGGATCTCTCTCAAATTATACTACAAGTTTCCATACGACAAAGGGATGGTTAGGATTTGCTTTGAGGGGTTATGGCTCAAACCGTTTAAGAATTAGGGGCAAAAAAGGGGGAAAAACAAGGTTGTCCTGGTTAATGGACAAATACTTTAGTACAAAACATAATTTAAAGCAGTGTAAGGGAGATAAATCAAATACATCATTGAAATTATCTCCCTTACACTGCTTTTAAATTATGTATAAAGTAATGGTTAATGAACAATTAAGATAATTTAAAACAGTGTAAGGGAGGTAATCCAAATACAACGTTTTGGTTACTTCCCTTACACTGCTTTTAAATTATGTTTAAAGAAATGCATATTTATAAAGGAAGACCAGTAAAAATATCTGCAAATGTTGCATCTTTTTTTTTTACAAAAAAATCCATATGAAAGATTTGACACTATATTTTAAATTCTATTATAAAATAGATTAAGTTAGCACTATGGTAAATTTAAATGGGTAATTATGGTTTGGGGGAAAAAATGGGGGGGGGGGGGGGGGTAAAAAGAAATTGTGGGGGGTCAATTTTTTCTCATTTCAGATTTCAGAAATTAAAAAGAATTATTCTTCAAATATTATTTTTTTTTCAAATTTCAAATATTGAAAAATTTCAAGAAGTAATCTTTAATTGCACAGTTTTGTGCATTAGATTTGTAAAATCTTTGACCACATTTATTTATTTGTTATGCCGAATCTACCGATGTATTTAGATTTTTAATTTTGGATCCAGTTTTCAAATTGGTCTACATTAAGGTCCAAAGGGTCCAAAATTAAAATTTGTTTGATTTTAACAAAAATTGAATATATGGGGTTCTTTGATATGCTGAATCTAAACATGTATTTAGATTTTTGATTTTTGGCCCAGTTTTCAAGTTGGTCCAAATTGGGGTCCAAAATTAAACTTTATTTGATTTCAACAAAAATTGAATATATGGGGTTCTTTGATATGCTGAATCTAACCATGTATTTAGATTTTTTATTTGTGGACCCCGCTATCAAATTGGTTCATATTGAGGTCAAAAGGGTCCAAAATTAAACTTTGTTTGATTTCATCAAAAATTGAATTATTGGGGTTCTTTGATATGCCAAATCTAACCGTGTATTTAGATTTTTAATTTTGGGTCCTGTTTTTTAAATTGGTCTACATTAAGGTCCAAAGGGTCCAAAATTAAAATTAGTTTGATTTTAACAAAAATTGAATTCTTGGGGTTCTTTGATATGCTGAATCTAAACATGTGTTTAGATTTTTGATTATGGGCCCAGTTTTCAAGTTGGTCCAAGTTGGGGTCCAAAATTAAACTTTGTTTGATTTCAACAAAAATTGAATATATGGGGTTCTTTGATATGCTGAATCTAAACATGTATTTAGATTTAAGATTTTTGGCCCAATTTTCAAGTTGGTCCAAACTGGGGTCCAAAATTAAACTTTGTTTGATTTCAACAAAAATTGAATATATGGGGTTCTTTGATATGCTGAATCTTACCGTGTATTTAGATTTTTTATTTGTGGGCCCGCTATCAAATTGGTTCATATTGAGGTCAAAAGGGTCCAAAATGAAACTTTGTTTGATTTCATCAAAAATTGAATTATTGGGGTTCTTTGATATGCCAAATCTAACCGTGTATTTAGATTTTTAATTTTGAGTCCCGTTTTTTAAATTGGTCTACATTAAGGTCCAAAGGGTCCAAAATTAAACTTAGTTTGATTTTAACAAAAATTGAATTTTTGGGGTTCTTTGATATGCTGAATCTAAACATGTGTTTAGATTTTTGATTATGAGCCCAGTTTTCAAGTTGGTCCAAGTTGGGGTCCAACAAAATTAAACTGTTTGATTTCAACAAAAATTGAATATATGGGGTTCTTTGATATGCTGAATCTAAACATGTATTTAGATTTTAGATTTTTGGCCAAGTTTTCAAGTTGGTCCAAATTGGGGTCCAAAATTAAACTTTGTTTGATTTCAACAAAAATTGAATATATGGGGTTCTTTGATATGCTGAATCTTACCTTGTATTTAGATTTTTTATTTGTGGGCCCGCTATCAAATTGGTTCATATTGAGGTCAAAAGGGTCCAAAATCAAACTTTGTTTGATTTCATCAAAAATTGAATTATTGGGGTTCTTTGATATGCCAAATCTAACCGTGTTTTTAGATTTTTAATTTTGGGTCCCGTTTTTATACGCCCGTTTACGGGACGTATTATGGTATACCGTTGTCCGTCTGTCCGTCCGTCTGTCCGTCCGTCGTCAACATGTCGGACATTAACTCAAAAATGCACTCACCAATTTGCATAAAACTTTGGTGAATTGTTTATATCTATTGACGTGAGCTCCCTTTCGTTTTTTATAAAATTTAGATTTTAAGTTTCCGAGTTATGGGGTTTTATTCATTAAAAAAAGGGGGATTTTCCAGTTTTCGGACAATAAGTCAAGAATGCTTTCACCAACTTGCAAGAAATTGTGGTGAATTGTTTATATCTATTGACATGAGCTCCCTTTTGATTTTTATAAATTTTAGATTTTACATTTCCGAGTTACAGGGTTTTATTCATAAAAAAAGGGGGGATTTTCCAGTTTTCGGACAAAAAATCAAAAATGCTTTCAGCAATTCTTATGAAACTTTGGTGAATTGTTTTTATGTATTGATGTAAGCTCCCTTTAGATTTTTATAAATTTTACATTTTACATTTCTGAGTTATGGGGTTTTATTCGTTAAAAAAAGGGGTGATTTTCCAGTTTTCTGACAATAACTCAAAAATGCTGTCACCAATTCTCATGAAACTTTGGTGAATTGTTTATATCTATTGATGTAAGCTCCCTTTTTATTTTTCATAAATTTCTGATATGACATTGAGAATTAATTGAACTTTATTTGTTTATAGTCTGACAACAAATATACTAAGTATTGCAGAACAGCAAGAAATATTTAATTGAATATAAATTCAATTCATATAACCAATTTCAAGTTCTTTGACTACATTTATTCAGAAACCTATAATATGTCAAATATTTAATTACAATCCAAATTCATACCTGAATCAAGCTTGAATATTGTGTCCATTTTTGCCCCAACTGTTCAGGGTTGGACCTCTGCGGGCGTATCTAGCTGCGCTCAGCGAAGCAGTTTATTTAAATTGGTCTACATTAAGGTCCAAAGGGTCCAAAATTAAACTTAGTTTGATTTTAACAAAAAATGAATTCTTGGGGTACTTTGATATGCTGAATCTAAACATGTGTTTAGATTTTTGATTATGGGACCAGTTTTCAAGTTTGTCCAAGTTGGGGTCCAAAATTAAACTTTGTTTGATTTCAACAAAAATTGAATATATGGGGTTCTTTGATATGCTGAATCTAACCATGTATTTTGATTTTGGACATTGGACCATAATAGGTAAATTAAAAAAATTGAAGTTCTTAGACCACATTCTTTCTGTGTCAGAAACCTATGCTGTGTCAAATATTTAATCACAATCCAAATTCAGAGCTGTATCAAGCTTGAATGTTGTGTCCATACTTGCCCCAACTGTTCAGGGTTCGACCTCTGCGGTCGTATCAAGCTGCGCCCAGCGAAGCATTTTATTTGATTTAAAATTCTTTATTTCGATTTTGATCTTGTTTTTGTAGATGAAGGAGTTATATTAGAAGCAAATGAACTGAGGAGATTTGCTGACCTTCCAATGACTGAAACTATTCTTAAAATTTTGGTTAAGGCATTACAAGGTAAAAGTTATGGTTTATTTGACTGATGTTGAATTTTACACCCAAACCCAAACAAGTGTTACCTAATTTTCTTGCAATTTGTCAAAGCTATTGAAACATTGATGAAAGAATTGATATCAATTTGCTTATATAAAGCAGCCAACTTTAACTGATTTCTCTTAATGTGTACATGAGCTATACATAAGCTTTCAAGACCAAATATCTCTTCATGAAATTTACAAAGAATTGATAACTGGGAAGAAAACTGGTGAACACTTTTATGTTTTGTGATATTTACTAAAGTTAGTTAAGAACATTAAACCTATTAAAATATATCTGTAGTAATTTACATGTGAAATAATAGTGAACATGGTGGTTGAAATGCAATAGTTACTATGGTGATATAGATCAGTTATTCGTTTGCTAGAGATAAATAGCTCAAACAGATCTAAAAAGGTACAATTGTCGATTAGGGTCTGTTTAATATGGCCTTGAAAAATCTTCTGACAATATTGCTGCAATAAAACTTCCTGTCATGTGATCTTGTGTCAAAATGGAGAAACATTTTCAAAAATTAAATTAATATAGAATAAATGTTTTTGCACAGACACATTGGTCTAAAATCACAAATAGCTATAGCCAGGACCATAAAAATTGGAATTGAAGTGGGAGCACCTGAAGAGTCATTTGACATAGCAGCAGACAAGTAAAACAAACATGCAAAATGCAATTGTTAAAAACTAATAATGTGTTAGCACTTGCCTCTTATTGTGAACGCATGACACTAATTTCCTTGGTTGAATGATTTGATTCTGAAATAATTCATCAATGAATTCACTGTTGTATTAATAGGTTAAAAGAGTAATTTCTCTAATTTTCATGCTATTTTCATATATCTCGATTGGTGTGAAAAAATGACCAAAGGATTGGTCGAATTCAATTATGATGTCAAATTTTCTTGATTTCTTCTGAAGTTCCTATTGTGACGTCATGAAAAAAGGTGACCATGCCTGATGACGTCACATATAAAGAACACAACTTGCTGCAAATCTTTGAAAAGGAAGGATAAACTTTGTACAGATATCATCTAAAAATCATTAGAGAAACAGATTCCACCACTATATGTCGTGTATTACGATATTTCTCCACTCTCAACAGTTTTAAAATTTTAGATATTTAAAAAGCTTGGCAAGCCTTACATTCTAAATTTTCAAAATTAAACTGTCTCGAGTGGAGAAATATCGTAACACACTTGATGCAGTGGTTGAATCTATATTTCTTCTACTATAATTGTATATTATTTAGATATATTTGTTATTTTTTCAGGAGAGATAACTCCTTTTATGATTGTTGATTTTTTTTTACAGATGCAAAGAGTAATGTCCCTGATACATCTGATGGTGGTATAGATACAATACTCTGTTTAGATATATCTCAAAGTACAGAAGGCAAAGCATTTGACCAGTTAATATCTGTGCTAATAGATTTCCTGAATGGTAACTATTACCAGTTATGACCTCTTGTAGAATTGATATTTTCAAAATTTTAAACAAACACAAGAAGATATCAAGGAAGCAATTAAGGGGGTACCCAACACTTTGACTAAAATAAAATTGGCTTGTTTAATTTTCTTCAAATTTTGACAAAATATTTACTTTGACCTGCTGACAAAAATATGGAAATTTCAAAAAAAAAGAACCATACAATTTACAGGAATAATTTTGTTGGCTATATAGCAATTTGAAAAACACTCATTTTGATCATTGAGAAGCTTGATTTCTTTGTACAAATAGATGTGATTAAAACATTCAGCTGATTTTTAAAGAGTTAACTCCCTTAGGTGTTCTGTTACCCCTTAATAGAGTTACTAGTTGAAAAGGTCTGACAACACTTTTGCCAAAAAATTAAAAGATGATAGGAAAAAGTCCACAAAACACTATGCTGAAACCTAAAAATAGAGCACCAGAAATAACAGAAGGTTCTTAAGTACTCAAAAAAAAAAACAGTATTGAGCTAACAGTGTAAATAGTAATTGCATTTGTGGGAACTTTAACACTCAACATAGCAATTTACACATAAAGAATGAATACATTATAAATAGATTGGGTAGTTTATAGTTACCAGTATATGTATGGTACATTTCATTATGAATAAAAAAAATGTTTAGGAATAATTGTCAATGAAACAGATCACCAATTAATATGTTACAAAAAAACCATGAAAATCTTCCTCAATACACTTGAGATATTGTATCTGGATGTAAAGCAAACCACAATCAATCAATCAATCAATCAATCAATCAAAAAAGAGCAACCAGAGTTCACACAGTGAGTAGGTAATCATACCATTTAGTCAACAGTAAATGACCCTCAAGTAAAACACAAGTTGTTTAGCTAGTCTACAAAGACCAACATAAGATCAGAATATTTACTATTTTACAAACAGTCTACCACAATTATAGAGTACTATATGGCAACCAGCTACAAGGCTTCTGACTTAGGACAGACACACACAATTTTACCAGATCTAAACCAGCCATGTGATTACACAACCATTACCCTAAAATATTAACCTAATGTCCCTATCAGAACAATTAAAAACAATCAAATCCAGTTAAAAGAATCGACAAGAAAAGCATTACTGTGGATTCATTTTTATTCGTGGTATACCAATTTTCGTGGGTCACAGCGAACCACGAATTTAAGAATTCAACGAAGAATAATCTTGAGAAATGTGTATGGAGTCGGATGTTTATTTCCGGTTATGTTATGTAGTTCTAGTATAGTGTTGACTAGCGATAAACATTGTAACATAACACAAGTTTTTATTGAAAGAAGATACAAGTATTTTGGTTAAATCAATAATAAATATATCGAATATCAGTGATAATTTACATTTTAAAATTGATTAAAACTTTTCATGGAAAATAACTGCAAGTTCTTAATTATCGTGTCATAGTTTGGTTTACTGGTGATTAAAAAATCAATAGGATTAAGTACGGGGATATTGCCCGTAGGTAATATTGTTTATGACATGAACATTTATTTTCACACCTTTTACTTATATGACTGTTTATTATATCTGATTAGGGAAATGAGCTTTCAATCATAGAGTTTTGAATGCCTTATAAAATTCCGACAAGAATTTATAAATTGTAAAAACAAACAAATAATTATTTGTCTCTGTCCATTATTGTAATAGAAGTTTTCAATGAACACTTTAACCTAGAATGACCAAGCGAGGATTTTGACAATTCAAAACTTTTCCAATGAATTCCTTCTTTTTTCTTTGTTTTATTATTGATCAAACCAAGGAGGTTATATGATCTCCTAAATCAAAAAGAAATCCACGAATTACGTATCTGATTTTTTTTTTTGTAATCAGCAATCCACGAATTTACGTATATCACGAAACGTCTTTTTTTCTCTATCCACGAAAATTGATACCCACGAAAATAAATGAATCCACAGTAGTTAAATAAAAAAGGTATATAATAGGAGATAAAAACACAGCAATAAGTTTTGTTTACATATGCATAATGAGGAAAGAAAAAATAACTTGAATCAGTTGTTTTAAAACCTTTTATTATACCTAGATGCAGAGGAGTTATCACTCAACAGAGAATTGTATGAGAACATAGGAATTGTAGTATTTGGTTCTCAGACTGAAATACTTTCACCTTTAACAATGGATTACAGTGATCTAGTGACTAAGATTTGTAAGTATTTATTATGGCTATTCAGTAAAATTTATCTAGGAGGGTAGGAAAGGACCTCCCAAAGTCCTGCTTCTGTAGATTCTTATTAATCACAAGATGTACTTTTGCACTTCCCATTTTATTTATTCATCTGAAATATTTATAGGGTTTACTTTTTTTTTGATGACTTTGACTTAGTCATATCTAGATCTGCCAACTATAGTACACATTTGGGGGTACCTTTTTGTATCAATAACTGCTCCTGCCCTGCTTTTCAGAATTATATGACACATTCAAAGATTCTTAATCACAAGATGTACTTTTGCACTTCCTATTTCATTTCTTCATCTGAATGATGTATGGGGTTAACGATGACATGGACTTATTCATATCTGTACACTACAGTTCACTTGGGGGAGACCATTTTGTATCTGCAACTCATCTTGAATCCCTCAGGCTCATTACAATTTATTGAAACTTTCTCATAATCTTAACCATATAATGCTAACATAGATTATTTTGTAGGTAAATTGAAACCTAGAGGAACATCAGCATTACATACAGCTTTAGCTTTATGCAGTATTGCACTCAAAGAGAAAGGTAAAGTCGTAGACATTTTTTTTTTTACATGAAATTATTAATTTTTTTGTATATTGCTTTCTTTAACAAAAGACTTAATGGGGAGGCAGGGGTTTTGGCTTCCATATTTTGGCAAAAACTAGCATTGTAATATGTCTGAATGGTAATCATTGAGTGGGTTAGCTTTGTTATTTTTTAGAAGATTGCATAAACTGGACATTTTTTGAGCTATTCCACTATCAACTCTAACCCATACCTTAACAGAACACTTAGTCAAACTTCTAAACCTAACCTTAAGTTAAAACATGGTTTCCTTAAAGCAAATGAATGCCCGAGGGGAGCGACAAAATGGAAGTAAAGAGGTCTATAAACAATAGGCAATATTTGGAATATCTTATCAACCACTTTGAAATTTCTAGAAATACCAAAACCTAAATTTAATACAGATATATAGGTCACACATACCTAAAAATGTTATGTTAAAGGGAGACCCTGTCCGCATTTCTCTCCCTTTCTTCATGACCAAGTCGTCTATTAAATGGAGAACCTGTTTTTTTCAGGGGGAAACATTATTAAATAACACATAAATCGCTTTCTGGTCTGTAAACCTTACTGAAAATCTCTTGGCATAACAAATGCTTTACATGTACGTGTATCATAAAAACAAATTCTTCCAAAAAAATCAGATCCATGTGTTTTCTGAAAATAAGTGATGTTTTGTTGTAGTATGCACTCCACAATTTAATTCATGAAAAATACAGTTAAGTTTCATTGTTCAGCAATTAAACTTTGACTGTCATACCCCATTAATATTACAAATCATATATAGCCATGACTTACTCATTAACATACTTAATCCACTGAAAGCTACCCTTTTTGGCCTTACATACGTTAATTCATAAAAGGCGTACTATATATATAACTAAGTATCTGAATGTGGTTCTTCACAGACATTAATTATTCATCGCTAGGCAGCAATTTCATGTTTTTTTTCTGTTTTCCATTACAAATAAGTTTAAAGTTTGGGTAATACATATAAAAGTAAGAATTTAATAGAATTAAGAAACTGTTTTAAAAATGAAAGTGACAAAGATAAGTACACTGATAGTTTACAAGTAGCTGCTCCAAGCATTTTATGAAGACAGTGATTTTTGTTGTTTTTTTTAGGAGGGCCTATGTCTATGGGAGGATATATTGTACCATCAAGAATTGTGGTTTTTTCTGATGGAAGACCTACAGATGATTCACAAATGAATGACATATTATCAGAGTATGCACCAAAGCCACCTGAGGTAAAGATGTCAGACCATCAATTAACCCACTTCAATTTAGAAAATATGTAAATAAAGCCCTACTAATACACAAAAAATAGTGCTTTTGATGTTGTTTTTTACTTAAACTAACTAATGAAGTTACACGAATGTAACTTTTTCTGATTGAGAAATATATTTTGATCATTTTGAGCCCAAATTTACTTGTGCATGAACTTTCAAAATAATTTTAGGGTAGATATGATCGATAGTATTCTAATGAAAATTTTCAGTAACGGAACATGCTATTTTTAGTTGTAGGGAAATCCCGAACATCAAGTATCACTATAAAATTTTAAACATTGGTTGAAAATTAGCATGTAGAAAGTTGATACAAGCATAATTCAGGATATGCATGGTTTTCATGAAGTTAAACCTAAGGTAAAATATTAAGAGAGCTGTGAAAAATTGAAAAAAATGGTTGAATATATAGGGATTTTGAATTAGAGGTCTGACACCTAAAAGTTTGTTTGTTATTTTCTTCTTATTTACTTTAATTCAGTCAGAGTCAAATGTAGATATTTAAAAACAAAAAAAAGAGATATGGTATGATTTCAAATGAGACAACTATCCTTCACAGACCAAATGACTTAACCTTTAAAAAAGTTAAAAAATCTGTTGTTTTATTTAGATAGGAGAGAGAGTGAAAGTTATGGTTGAGCAGTTACATCACCAAGGATATACACTGTTTACTGTTCCTGTTGGAAGTCATGTGAATAGGGTAAGTTGTTTATGTTTTAAGTCTTTTTTCCTGATGGGCATAAGTGGCTAAGAGCCCTCATTCATCATTCTGTCTGTAAACTTTCAAATGGTCATTGAACCAAACTTCTCTGTGTGATCTTTCATAAAGCATTCTCATGAAACAAATTACTTGTTTTAACCCCTGGTTATTGATGGGGGTATACAGTGACTGTTGTGGTTGTTTGTGCATTGGTTCATCCAGATATTTGTGTATTGTTCACCCAAACATTCATCAACACTTAGTCTGCAACTTCTCTTAAACTGGTGATTAGATTTAAATGAAACTTTAAGAAAATCTTCAGTACTTTAGACATTGTTTATCATTTAAATGAGTTTTGGGACTCCCAATAGGAAAACATTGACTATGCTATATGTATGGCGGCATATGGGTTGTCATCTTGTATCTGCAATTCCTCCTTAAAATAACTGTCTAGATTGAAATTTTCAAGTAGTAATTCTTTCATAATGACATCTTATAACATCTTATTTTAGTTTTCTATCTGCATAATTTCCAATCAAAAGATTGACTTTGCCAAGCACTCTTCAATGAATGAGCAGGATATAAATTAGAGCCTATATCACATTTTTCGAGAACATATATCCACTTGTATTTCATTTAAAACTGATTTTGGCCAGAGAAAACAGAAAGATTGTACAAGAAAATTTGAATAAAATGGAAAAAAAAGGTTTTTATGTCCCCGCCGTCCCCGCCGTTGGGGGCATTATGGCATTAAGTTTTACCCTTGTCCATTCTTACGTCTGTACGTCCCAAGGTTGGTTTCCATTCTCTAACTTAAGTTAGCCTCAACCAAATGTTATGAAACTTATACACAATGCTTATCACCACAAAACACAGATCAAGTTTGAATTTTGGAGGCGTCACTTTAACCGTTCTAGAGTTATGCCCCTTTACAAATGGAAAAATTGCTGAATTTTTTGTTTCCGTTCTCTAACTTAAGTTTGCCTCAACCAAATGTTATGAAACTTATACACAATGCTAATTACCACAAAGTACAGATCAAGTTTGAATTTTGGTGGTGTCACTTTAACCGTTCTAGAGTTATGCCCCTTTACAAATGGAAAAATTGCTGAATTTTTCGTTTACGTTATCTTTCTTAAGTTAGCCTCAACCAAATGTTATGAAACTTATACACAATGCTTATCACCACAAAACACAGATCAAGTTTGAATTTTGGTGGTGTCACTTTTACTGTTTTAGAGTTATGCCCTTTACAAAAGGAAAAATTGCTGAATTTTTCGTTTCCGTTCTCTAACTTAAGTTTGCCTCTACCAAATGTTATGAAACTTATACACAATACTTATTACTACAAAACTCAGATCAAGAACAAATTTGGGTAGCGTCACTTTTACCGTTCTTCAGTTATGTACCTTTATAACTTTATATGATATGCAAGCGGTGGCATCATCTGTGTCCCATGGACACATTCCCCATTTATTTTATTTGTCATCATGTTTATTTGTTTCAGATGTTTCTGCAAGATATGGCAAAAATGGGAGGCGGAAAGTTGATAGACATGGAGGATGTTAGATTTATAAAGAAATACTTTCATTACCAGGTCAGTGAAAAAACACTTTATGAGGGTCTGGATGGGGTTTACAGAATAGAGAATAATGGACCATGAGTACAAAAAAAATGGCAAAAAAAAAATTATAGAGCAAAATGGGGTGCTTAAACATAGAGAACACAGAATAAAAGGCAAAAAATATTAAGAATGGAGAAAAATGACCAAGATATTTAGAGAATACAGAACTGAAGGACCCCATCCAGACCATCCTTTATCAGAATGGACAAGAAAGGATATAGTGTATCAAATCATGACACAAAGTCATAAAATGTCCAATAAAAAACCAAAACAACAGTGCTTTTATTGTTGCTCTTCACAAAGTTGAAGCAAGGTCATTATCAGATCTTACACTAGATGTTGATAATACTGTAAATTCAGTTTGATGATTAGGCTGATTTATAACTTAATGTGATTATGTGTTATTAATACTGTTAATTCAGAGTTTGATGATTAGGTGTTGTTAATATTGTTAATTCAGAATTTGATGTGAATAGGTGTTGTTAATAATTTAATGTGTGCATTAATTGTTGTGAATCTTCAATATAAGACAATAATGCAAAATTATTAAATGCATAGACCTTGTACAATAAATTATTGCTAGCATAAAGTAAAAAAGCAAGTGTCTATTTGAAATTTAAGCTTGATCATGGATTATTTCTATTGTTAGGTTGTTACTGGTAATGTGATTCAAAAATGCCATGAAACAGGAAACACTAAAATGTATGCAGAATATATACAAAGAGAAGTAAATCAACATGAATCTGGTCTAGACTCAGACGATATTGTAAGTGTTTATACATAGATGCTTTATGTCTGTCATCAAAAGTTGCCGGTTTTTTTCATTGAACTGTGCTAGAGACATGGTTGACAATAAAATTACAATTGTAGATTGATTGGTAGTTGCTTACCTAACATCCAGTGGCAATTATTTCATGAATATTCAGGATGAGAACCTATTAAAAATTAATACAACAGAAAGATTTTGCAAGGTAGGATGACAGGCAGGAAATTTGGACTGCCACTTGTAAAACAGTGGTATGTTGGATAGGTGCAGAAATCTTCAAAGAGCAGAAGCAAGAGTTCTTCAAAGTACAGAGAGCATTGCATTTACTTTACAAAAGGCATCAGATTTAATGTCCCCAGTCTCCAACTGGACATGGCTGCATATTAATACATCCAATTCAGCCAAACGGAAACCCAACTTTAGAAAAGGTTACTGTCGGTCCAAAGTAGACCAAGGTTGGGTTTACAACTGTAGAGATTTATTTTCTAGATTGTTGGAATCTGTTTTTTTTATTTATTTCAACATTTGATGTCTAGAAACAATAAATTGATGCAAGTTATTACTTCCATGTGTTTTGAATACATTGGTTCTTTCCTTTATAATTTGTCACTTAAAAGACTTCATATGAAGAACATCCAAGAAAATCAACTTGTCCGACTTCTAAACTCACTTTCCCAAATAGTAGACTCTCAGATGAGATAAAGCTATCCTTTCATGTACCTATTGTGACATTTATAAGTTGATGTACAACTTTGGACTCCTAGCATTTGTCTTTTCTGGTCATGTTCTGGTTACACTAGCTGAATCCTATCATCATCAAACTTATTCATTAGCTGTGAAAAAGAAATCCAAAAACGTGCTTCATGTCAGTATTTTTACCGCAAATTGACATCTGTTATTATTCCAGGCTGTTAATAATAATTGTTAAATCTGAGACAAAAACGAAAAAAGATGATGTAATTGATCATGTAATAGACTTACGCTAGTGGAATAAAAACTAAGGAAATGTAAATTAATAAACTATTGCGCCTTTTAGAACATGTTTACCAACAATAAAATTGTCAAAGAAAGCCAATTAAATATCAGATGTTGGCAAAACTATCAATGTATTTAAATTGATGATAACGTTATGTAACACTTTGGAACTAATATAAACAATTGTGGGTTAATAATGGGATTAGTTCTAATTTGATGATTTTTCACTTGTCCCATCGGACAACTAATATGTTGATTTCACTTGTTGAATGCTTATTTTCACTTGTCTCAGACAATCAAACAAATGGTAATGTCAAGCCCTGTACATTGATGATAGTTAATAAACGCAAAAATGTCAAACAATCTTGAATATTTCATTCGGCTATTAAAAATTTTTCCTTTTTTCACATTTTATTTGTAGAGTCATATAACAGAAATCATTCACACTTCCAAAGAACTTGATGATGAGGAACATGACAATTTACCCTCTCTTGGTAGCAGAGTACAGATATTATCAGGAGAAGCCACATCTGAACCTTTACAATATGGAACAACTGTACAGAACCTCCCTGATGGTAAGTCTTCCGGCAGCAAAGATAGCATCAATCTAAAGAATCAGGAAAAACTACTCCAGGCCTGAACAGTTTTCTCTAATTCTTAGCTGACTGTAACTTTTAAAGACCATTGAAAATAAAAAAAATTATAAAGTTAACGTGTGGTTTAATGGTTCTCCATTTTTCATTGGTCAGTTAGACTATTCTTTGTAATATTAAATATAGTTTGCTGGACAAATGTATTTTTTCCGAATTTACATAACCATGTTATTACATTGTTTTGGAATCAAAATGAAAATAACATTACTTACTGGTGGATTCTTTAATGTGTAAGAAATTGATAATAAAAAAAAGACCCTTTGCTGTAAATGACTTAAAGACTAGATTAAAAATCTTAAGTGATTTTATTACAGGTTGGATAAAGGTTCAATTAGACAATGGATTAATTAACTTTTATCACTATGTGAATGGTGACAAAGAGGATGTGAAACTAGTCAGTGTACCACGTCAGTTAAAGGAGGATCAGCTGATTGAAGTTGGAGTATTTGTTTGTGAAATAGGTAAATAATTTCATCATAGATACCAGGCTTAGAATTTGAACACCAGATGCACGTGCAAACTAGAAAAGACTCATCAGTGACGCTCAAATCAGAAAAGTTAAAAGGCCAAACAAACTACAAAGTTGAAGAGCAAAAAAATAAATTGAAGACCGAAAATTCTGAAAGGCTTTGCTAATACAGGTAATCTATTCCAGGGTTAGAAAGTCCTTAGTATTTCAAAAAATTCAAAGTTTTGTTAACAGTTAATTTATAATTATAAAGTAACTGTGACTTAGGATGTAAAGCCATTTCCTTAATGAGATTAGTGTGTACATTCTTATTGAATGATTGGTTTAACACCAAATTTTTTATACATTCATACAATTTCTTGGCAGTCGGTATTGTTTGAAACAATAAATGCGGGGTTGAACAACTAATCTTTGACATGTAAAAACTTTTTTGTGCTTCTTTATGAGTAAAAACTATTTTGAGTTGGTTCTTCCCTTTCCTTTTGTTTGTTATTTTTAGGGAGGGGAGGGGGGCTTTTTCTTTTTTCAGTGTGTAAATGACAAAGTTAGTTCATGAATGTTTGCTGTAAAAGAAACTAAGAAGAGAAAAGGAAAATCATCACATTTGTAAATCATAAAACAAATAAGTATTATGCCAAAACTTGGTATGTCATGTAAATGAAAGACCTATATAGTTTCATTTAATTTTAGGAAAACCTCAGAGAAAAGGAATAGTGTTTAGAGTAACAAACTCTGGATTTGTTGATGTAAGTATAGAATACAACAAAAAAGAAAAATATTGAATGAAAATGAAATAAAATGTGATATGGCTTAGTTGAGACATTACATGGACATTTATGAAAAAAGAAGATGTGGGTTATTCGTCAGTGAGACATCAAACTAAAGACAGAAATAACTAAAAGAGATCTAAAGAGCAACATACAGTCTTCACCTGTAGATGAGTGTTTATGCATTATGTCAAGCTACATACGTCCAGATTCTATAAAAGTTGTGAATAATTTAATCAAAACATTCAAAAATCTGCCATGAACACCAAATTCTGCAAATAACAAAAAATATAAGACAACCACTGAAGAAGTTCCTGATTTGGGACAGGAACATGAATATGTGGAGGATTAAGAATTGATTTTGTGGGAAATTATCAAATCATTCCAATTAGTTCAAGATATGGCTAAAACACAACTTGATTCAATTGGTTAGCCTACTTACAATTTTTGTTGAGTCTGCGATATTTATGTCATGGAAGCAAAGATAGCTACCCTACATTGTGTCTATGTATGATACATTTGTCAATAGATCAGATAACTTGAAATATTTATCTCTTGCCATGAGCAAAAAACAAAAGAAAAAAAGGGAACTAACATCTAAATTGGGAAAAGCACAATTAAAATAGTTACAAATTATTGGCTGCTGGGATTGGACAAGAATATGTACATATTTTCGGGTACAAGCAGAACTAAAAATATGTTATTACTCAACCCACCCAGTGCTAGTACTATGGTTTATAAATGGCACAAACAAAATATCATTTGAAAAATTTGATTGACTCCTTTCAGCCAAACTATGTGGTTCCAACATGGTAAAATCTGCCCTGTAATCTTTTGGGGGTGAGCTTGTGACCTGAAATCTCATTTAAAATGACCTGTGACATCTAAGTCTTTGAAACTAACTTTCTTATATTTGCTTTAAAGTGACTGGGGGACTAGATTCAATTTTAAAGGTCACCTTGTGACCTAAAGGGGTACTCTACTGTAGCCCCAACTATACTTTGGAAATTTTGCATGGTGCTAAAACTTCCCTAAGGCCTGTTTTTTGTCTCGCCTGCGACAATAGTCGGGGAAAGCGAGACATAGGGATTGCTTTTCCGGCGACAGTGACGGCTGGGGCGGTTGTGGTGTCAACAATTGTTAAGTTTTCTGCTTAAGTTAGTTTGATAGGAATTACTTGTGATAGATCATTGATATTTAATATAAAGTTGCATTACTATCAGTACATATCAATTTGAGGACTATTTCGAGGCCCTGTCCCCTAGGTCATGGTCCAGCAACTTTGAATTTACTAGCAATTTTCAATGTTAAGTTTTCTGCTAAAGTTAGTTTAATAGGAACTACTTGTGATAGATCATTGATATTTAATAGGAAGTTGCATTACTATCAGTGCATATCAGTTTGAAGACTATTTTGAGGCCCTGCCCCCTAAGTCAAGGTCCAATGACTTTGAATTAATTAGCAATTTTCAATGTTCAGTTTTCTGCTTAAGTTAGTTTGATAGGTTCTTCTTGTGATAGATCAATGATATTTTGTACGAAGTCGCATAACTATCAGTACATATCAGTTTGACGACTATTTTGAGGCCCTGCCCCCTAGGTCATGGTCCAGCAACTTTGAATTAACTAGCAATTTTCAATGTTAAGTTTTCTGCTTAAGTTAGTTTGATAGGAACTACTTGTGATAGATCATTGATATTTAATATGAAGTTGCATTACTATCAGTACATATCAGTTTGACAGCTATTTTGAGGCCCTGCCCCATAAGTCATTGTCCAGATACTTTGAATAAATAAGCAATTTTCAGTGTTAAGTTTTCTGCTTTAGTTAATTTGATAGGATCTTCTTGTAATAAATCAAGGATATTTTGTATGAGGTCGCATTACTATCAGTACATATCAGTTTGACAACTATTTTGAGGCCCTGCCCCCTAGGACATCGTCCAGTGACTTTGAATTAATAAGCAATTTTCAGTGTTAAGTTTTCTGCTAAAGTTGGTTTGATAGGATCTGATTGTGATAGATCAATGATTTTATGTATGAAGTTGCATTACTATCAGTAAATATCTGTTAGACGACTATTTTGAGGCCCTACCCCCTAGGTCATGGTCCAGTGACTTTGAATTAATAAGCAATTTTTAATGTTAAGTTTTCTGCTTAAGTCATTTTGATAAGAACTACTTGTGACTACTTGTGTAAGTTTGTTGACCATTTCTAGGCCCTGACCACAACATGGTCCATCGACTTTGAATTAATAAGCAATGTTGCTGTCCATCAGATTGTCTTTTTCTGAATTTTATGTGGACAGGCGAGACATATCTCTGTGTCAACAGTTTATTTAAAATATGCAAAGTTTATGAGATCTTAGATTTGAATATGTACACTTCAAATTCATAGAACAACAAAACAATATCAAGTACCGCATTGCAATACTTGTACCTTTCAATAATGTTGGTGGAAATAATATTTTACAGCCCCTAATGAAAATTGTTTAAGTACAAAATATTTTCATTTTTGTACAGGTTAGATGGGAAGATGGTACAAAATCAAGACACAAATATGGAGCAGATGGAGAGTTCCAGCTTGAGATACAGTAAGAACAACTAAAAAAATATTTATACTGCAACAGATTGATGAAAAAAGATAATGCATCTAGCATATCTTGAAAATAGGGGATGTGATAATGATTTGAAACTGATTCTTGTTCTTGGAAAAAGGAAATGCAATAAAAGATTTTACAAAGCCAATAACAACAAATATTTATCAAGTCCCTTCCATTCCAAATCATACAATATTTAATTGGTGAATTAAATTCAAAGATTTGATTTCAATATCAAATTGTTATAAAAAACCACTATCAAATTATTTTGATAACGTTTTCTGTTTCTATATTATATGCCTGTTGAAGACATAACTATTTTTATGCCCCCGCCGTAGCGGTGGGGGCATTAAGTTTTACCCTTGTCCGTCTGTACCTAGGTACGTCCCTAAATTGGTTTCCGTTCTCTAACTTGAGTTTGCCTCAACCAAATGTTATGAAACTTATACACAATGCTTATTACCACAAAACACAGATCAAGTTTAAATTTTAGTGGCGTCACTTGAACCGTTCTAGAGTAATGCCCCTTTATAAATGGAAAAATTGCAAAATTTTTAGTTTCTGTTCTCTAACTTAAGTTTGCCTCAACCAAATGTTATGAAACTTATACACAATGCTTATTACCACAAAACACAGATCAAGTTTGAATTTTGGTGGCATTACTTTAACTGTTCTAGAGTTATGCCTCTTTATAAATGGAAAAATTGCAAAATTTTTATTTTCTTCTACATATCAAGTAATTTTTACAAAAATTGGAGTTTTCCTTTGTCCATGATTATAGTTGAATCAACTACAATCAATGCTTTATACAATGCAATGTTTAATTTTGACTTCCACTGATAAAACACAGATCCAGTTGAATTTGGGTAGTGTCACTTTAACCATTATTGAGTTATGCCCCTTTGTAAATCGATAGATTGCAAAATTTTTAGTTTCCATTCTGTAACTCAAGTTTGCCCCAACCAAACATTATGAAACCGATACACAATATTCATTACCACAAAGCTAAGATCAAGTACAAATTTTTTGTTTCCGTTTTCTAACTTGAGTTTGCCTCAACCAAATGTTATGAAACTTATACACAATGCTTATTACTACATAATACAGAGTAAGTATGAAATTTGGTGGTGACACTTTTACCATTCTTGAGTTATGTCCCTTTATAAACATAAAAATTGCTGAATTTTTTGTTTCCGTTCTCTAACTTTGGTTTGTCTCAACCAAATGTTATAAAACTTATACACAACCGTTCTAGAGTTATGCGTGTTTACTAATAGTAAAATTGCTGAATTTTTAGTTTCTGTTCTTTACTTAAGTTAGCCTCAACCAAATGTTATGAGACTTACATTCAATGCTTATTACCAAAAAACTCACATCAAGTTCAAATTTGGGTAGCGTATGGAACGCCTCAGCTGTCTTATGTGGAACTCTGATATTACTTTATGTTGTTTTATTATTACTTGATGATATTTTGTCTTTACTTAATATGGTTTTGACATTACGTAATGATGTTTTGATATAACTCAATATGGAATAGTCATTACTTAATGAAATTTCGATATTACACGATATGGTTTCGTATTGACTTGATATAGTTTTGTCATTACTCAATATGGTTTTGTCATTACTCGATGTGGTTTCACCATTATTTAATGTGGTTGTGTCATTAGTCAATGTGGTTTTAACATTACTTGATGTGAATGTGACTTAACGTTATGTAGTTGTTTCATTACATGATGTGGTTTTGTTATTTTGTAATGATGATTTGCCTATTCTTTATATGGTTTTAACATTACTTAATGATGTTTCAAAATTTGACGATTTTACACTACATGATGTGTTTGTTTCATTATTTGATGTGGTCCTGTCATTCTTTGATGTGGTTATCCCATTACTTGATGAGGTAAAACCACGTGACCAATTCGGAAAAAAATATGTTCTATTTTTAAACAGATTTCAATATTTCATTTGTTTAATGTGCTTTGGATGGGTATCGCTATCCATTGAGTTAAAGTTCAAATTAAAGCTGGAGTGGTTGTTCAGAGTTATTTAGCATGAAAAAGGTAACCGTCAGACAATAATTAGAAAAAAAGTATTAAAGAGTTTACAGTATTTCTTACATAATTGGGATATCCCCAAACCACTTTGTCTTGTTGTTTTTATCCTAAGTTCTCAAACGGAAGCAGTATTTTTGTAATAAATTTGTAAAATATTCCACGGAACCCTATGTCTCGCCTGATATTGCTGCTGTAAGTGTAAAAGCGTCATGTTGATCGGCTGTACATTTATCTATACATTTATCGGTAAAAACAAAATTAAAAAAAATGTTTTTCTGTAGATGCTTTTTCTTGAAATTGAAGAATAACTCCTATACTCCTATACAAGTTTTAAAACACTTCATGGAGGTTTACAAATTTATCATGTCAAAACAGTTTAATTCGGTTTTATTTAACTAAAACAAAACTGTATGGTTTTCAACAATAAGCAAAACCCATACCCTATAGTAAGCTATAAAAGGTCCCGAAATGAAAAATGTAAAAACCTAGAAACTAACGATCTATATATAGATAGATAGATAGATGGATAGATACTTTATTCTCTAAAAACTAATTACAAGTTTACAGAGAAACATACAATATAAATACAGATACAATAGTTGAGGTAAACAAATACAGTATGATATTCTAAAAGTACAAAATTATAATGACATACATGTTTAGTAACATGTATAATGAAATGTTAAACTCAATAGAAATAACAAAAGAATTGAGATGGAGATGCCGACGCCACTATCGACGACGAAGTATAGGTTTGTTGGGTCTCACTGCCGCTACATTGATGTCGCAGGCTCGACACAAATCAAATGACTTGAACTTTAATGTTAACAAATGAACCGCTTCAAATCAACTCACACTAAAGTTACAGGGAAACGGGGGGAGGGGGCTCGGACTTAGCGACAAAGCATCAATACTATAAAATAAGAATTCTCCGATTTTTTTTTAGCGTAAATGATCATTTGAACTTATACAAATATCAATCTTTTATTTGTAATCAATTGAATTCCCTGATCTACCTCGCACTAATTGAAAAATAAACTTTTTGGAATATCTGTTTCACATGTGACGACGGACATGTTCCAGTGGTCGTAACCATAATACCGTCATCTTTTTCTTGAATGTGAACTACCAAATAAAACCAAGTCACTGGGTTTGAACTTTCTCGAATAACACGGCGTATGCCTTTCTGGAGCATCCGAGATCACCCCGATGGATTTATATTACCCAGTCATACCGATCTATTGAGTCAGCCAAATGAAACTTTTGTATGCCACCGCAACTGAAAGTTTGGGGGGGGGGTATATTGTTTTACCCCTGTCCATCTGTCCGTCCGTCTGTCCGTCCCATTATGGGTATATAGTTATTCCGCATAACTCCTCCTACAGTTTGAATCCTTTGAAGTTTTCTCTTTACTGTCTGTTTGTACATATATTGAAGGTGTGCATGTGGTCAGGGTTTAATGTTTATTAATATTTGCTCTTTTGGGAGATAGTTGAACTTTGTAATTTTTCGGGAAATTTACTTGCATAAGAAGAGTGTTTCCAGATAACTCCTCCTACAGTTTGAATGCTAGGAAGTTTTTGCTCTGCTGGCTGTTTGTACATATATTGAAGGTGTGCATGTGGTCAGGGTTTTTCTTTTTATTATCTTTTGCTCTTTTGGGAGATAATTGAACTTTTTTTTTTGTCATTTTTGGGGTATAAGCGGTTAAATGAGTTGAGTGCGGGGCATCACTTTGTCTAGTTTACATTTTTTTCTCGTGTTGTGCTGTTACACAAGTGTAACAGTCCGATGTAAGGTTAGGATTTAGCGCTCACATACATGTTAAACTCCGCCACGTGCACTTTCTTTATGTACCTGCCCCAAGTCAGGAGCACGAAGTTCAATTGTTGTCCTTGTATAAATGTGTGTCATTTTTTTTGTGTAGATTGTTTAAATATAAAAAAGACCGTTTGTTTTTTCGTTTGAATTTTTTCACATGGTGCATGGTGGCCTTTTATAGCTGACTATAGGTTGCAATTCTGTAAATACAGACAATGCAATTTCCCATAGGAACTCCCTTTGCGGCTAAAACTGTGACACTTTTACTATGAAGTTTCGTGAAAAATAATATCCCAGAACGGAAAGTTTATATGCACTACTATTTTATTCAAAGGTCAAAATATAGGGCTGTGCGGCATATTTTCAACATTTATATGCCCTGAACTTCTAAGAGTTTAAACTTATACTAAAATTCTATACTACCCTTACCTCCATTTTTGGACCTCCTAAGAATTAAAATTTAGCCGCTACCATGTTTATCTATACTGGTTACATTCCCAAGTGATGTCTCTATGAGATGAAACACAGAGATCATCAATGGGAACCAGTACGTTAACAAATTAATATACCTATGAATATTAAATATCTCCCCAAAAGAGGCGTGGTTTGAGAAACAGCTGTATTTACAAAGTGCAACCTATACAAACATTTATTCAAATAGAAAACTCTCTAAAAACACTTTTTCTCACAACAATACTTATTTATCAGAATTATAGCCTTAAAGAAATCACTACATATACTCTAAGTCTCCTTTTACAGTACATTTTATACCCCTACCCCTGTTTCAATTTTTTAAAGATTTTGAAAACAAGACTCTAATTATTGCCAGCTTACCCTATGTGCATGTTTTCTGACATGAACTGTCTAAAACTTGTTTGAAACTATTCTGATAACAACTTGAAAGCATTTTAGAATACTATAAATGTTTTGTTTAGTAGTTAAGCATTCCAACATTCAAGATTATACAAAGTATCCAATCCTGCCTGTGTCTCCAGTCCACATCTTACTGTATGCCTATTTGTCAATGAAAGTTCACAATTTCTACCTCTAATGGTCAGTTTAGAATTCTTGTCACAACAGTATCATCCCTAACCATATATCTAACATAAGTTAGTTAATATATGTCCTAGAAGTGTTTAAACAAAGGCATATTTGCAAAAGTTGTATTTATGAAGATATCAGTCTGGTGCATAAATTCACTAAAAGTTTGATTGAAATGACTGCTTACATCTGATTTTTGCATAACTTCCTAGCACAGTTATTGTTTACTTTATAAAAGACCTTTAAAATAAAAAAATCATAGCATTTACAAGTTAAATTATCTGTTTTATGACTCAAGGGTAGGCATTTTCCTCTGTTTTTTGCCCCTGGGGCCTCACATTTCCTAATTTTTTTCCCTGTTTCTAGCAATGTGAAATATTTACTACATATTTAGGATAGAACACACTATTGTAAGTTTTACTGAGGTCTTTTTGTAATTCTAGCTTGTACTTTTTTATGCCGCAGTCACAAAAAAGCACATTTAGGCGTTACGGCTTACTTTTGGGTTATCGACAGGACAAAAACACCCCACCAGAAATATTTAGGAAGGATCAATGAGTTGCAATTACTGCGAAGAGTAAATATAAGCACTTCTAAACAATTTAAATTACAAATAGGCATATATTATGAATTTATTTTGAATTCAGGGCTTTAAGTAAACCATGCATACTTTAAACTGTGAATTTATGCTGAGTCATCATAGTTAAGGCCCAGGATTTTCTCAATCTTCATGAAATATTTATAAAACTTCATATTTGAGTTAAATTCTTTAAAATCTCTGAGATAAACCAGATTTTGTGAAATTCTGTATGTTCTATTTTTTAACCCTATATAGGTTGCAATTCTGTAAATACAGACAATGCAATTTCCCATAGGAACTCCCTTTGCGGCTAAAACTGTGACACTTTTACTATGAAGTTTCGTGAAAAATAATATCCCAGAACGGAAAGTTTATATGCACTACTATTTTATTCAAAGGTCAAAATATAGGGCTGTGCGGCATATTTTCAACATTTATATGCCCTGAACTTCTAAGAGTTTAAACTTATACTAAAATTCTATACTACCCTTACCTCCATTTTTGGACCTCCTAAGAAATTAAAATTTAGCCGCTACCATGTTTATCTATACTGGTTACATTCCCAAGTGATGTCTCTATGAGATGAAACACAGAGATCATCAATGGGAACCAGTACGTTAACAAATTAATATACCTATGAATATTAAATATCTCCCCAAAAGAGGCGTGGTTTGAGAAACAGCTGTATTTACAAAGTGCAACCTATATGGTGTGTTGAAGGCTGTACGGTTGCCTATATATGATTTCTTACATCCACTGCATTTAAACTCTGGTGGATAGTTGTCTCATTGTCAATCACACCACATCTAACTTTATTTCAACTTCTATGTTGCGTTTTGTATACTGTAACATTGTTTATCTTTTGTACGCATACCCCGGAGCCCTCTTTTCGGAATCCAGAGCAAAAGTCCTTGTTCCGCAATAGAAGATTTAATTACGAACTCATATAAGATAGCACGAATTTCAACTCAAAATCTTAATTAATCTAAATGAGACTTAAATTTGAATCTTACTCAAACTCAAAAAGTGACTCAAATTTAATGGTGTAACTAGAACTCTACCTTTAAATGTGACTCAAACTTGAAGTCCAACTCGAAACTCAATGCTAACTAAAACTTTAATTCTAATAATGACATGAATTCGGAATCGGAGACTAACTCAAAGTTCTACTCAAACAGTAACCCTAACTTTAATTTGAACTCTAATTCGATGGATGGCCGCACTCATCCAAGGCACATACAACATGGAAATCTATCTAAAAATAGAACAGGTTTTTTCCGAATTGGTCACGTGATTTTACCTCATCAAGTAATGGGATAACCACATCAAAGAATGACAGGACCACATCAAATAATGAAACAAACACATCATGTAGTGTAAAATCGTGAAATTTTGAAACATCATTAAGTAATGTCAAAACCATATAAAAAATAGGCAAATCATCATTACAAAATAACAAAACCACATCATGTAATGAAACAACTACATAACGTTAAGTCACATTCACTACAAATAATGTTAAAACCACATTAAATAATGGTGAAACCACATCGAGTAATGACAAAACCATATCAAGTCAATACGAAACCATATCGTGTAATATCGAAATATCACTAAGTAATGACTATTCCATATTGAGTTATATCAAAACATCATTAAGTAATGTCAAAACCGTATTAAGTAAAGACAAAATCTCATCAAGTAATAATAAAACAACATAAAGTAATATCAGAGTTCCACATAAGACAGCTGAGGCGTTCCATAGTAGCGTCACTTTTACCGTTCTTCAGTTATGTCTCTTTATAACTATATGATATGCAAGCGGGGGCATCATCTGTGTCCACATGTGGACGCTATCCACATTTATTATCTATCCATCCATCAGTCCCACATGGCATTTCTCATAAGTCTTCAACTACAGTGTGCTCTATATAAATCTAATCAAATTTCGAAATGAAAAATTCCATGAAGACTAGATACTTTTTGACTCTATGATTTTGTATGAATGGTCTGCAACTAAACAATTTTACATATATCTTGTGTTAACCAAATATTTCTGCAATATTGATAAATCTTCAACCAACTCCTGCAGCTCTGATACCTGCAGTTTGGAGGCAATGGCAAATATTTGTCTTCTTGTTTATCTCTTGTTTGGTTGCATGCAAATATCGTTTTACTTGTAATAACCTCTAGTGCATATACCAAACTTTAATGGAAAAAGTGTAGAATAACTAATCGGCCACAGCTGCTATATTTTTAACTCATCAGAAATGCTATACTTTTAGGTACATTTAGAAAGGAAGACAGTTAAAATATAGGCAAATATTGCATTATTCTATTACAAAGAAACTCCATGAAATATTCCATACTATATTTTAAATAACCCTGTTTTCTGTTAGCCAAGTCGACAAAGACTCATTATTATCATTTAGATACTGTAAATTCAGAAATTATTACAATGTTTTTATAAATGCGAAAAATGCGACAGCATCATGTTCGCAATTGTAAAAAATTGCATTCGTAATTTCAGTAGTGACTTTCCTTTATAAATCTTTTGGAAATCACATTTCACATTTTTGCCAGAGGTCCAGGATTCGGAAAAATAAATGCATGCATTGATTTCTGAATTTACAGAACATGTTTCTTGATAATCAATGTAAATAAAATTTTTAAAAATTTGGCTCTTCTGTATTTAATTCATGTATATATAAAGAAATAACTTTTCTCCAATAAATATATCTATTTTGCTTTGCAGCAATGAAGTCAGTAATACTAAAGGTATGTTATTTGCAATATATGTAGACATATCTACATTTTGTCTATTGGGTTGAAAATTTTCCAATCCAGTTAATTAACTAGCATATGTTCTATTTTTAGAATAACCCAGTGTAAGAACATTTTTATCCCAAAATATAAACATCTTTTTATCTGTCTGTCTGTTCTTTGCTTCATTCTTTCATTCTGCTGTCTTGCTTTTGGTATAGAACCACTAATTATACCCCACGCAATTTTTGCTTCGGGTATAATGTTTTTGACCCGTCCATCAGTCCGTCAGTCCATCAGTCATGTTCTTGTCATCGCAACTCCTCTGAAACCACACAACAGAATTTCATGAAACTTTACAGATAATAAGGAAATACTATGTAGATGTGCATATCGACAGGAAATTATGATTCAACTTTTTTTTTCTAGGAGTTATGCCCCTTTGCACTTATTGGCCTCAATATACTACTGCAACAGTTTGTCATTGCAACTCCTCTGAAACTACACAACAGAATTGCATGAAACTTTGTAGATAATAAGGACATACTATGTAGACGTGCATATCGACAGGAAATTATGATTCAATTTTTTTTCTAGGAGTTATGCCCCTTTGCACTTGTGAGATTTTGTTTGTCCAGTGACAATATGAAGGCGTGGGGTATGTGAGCATGCTCACAAAGATTCTTTAATTCGGGACCGATGGCAAAGAACATACATGAAAGTGGTACATATCTTAAACAAAATAGCTGTAACTTTGTCAAAAAGTAAAACATTTGGGCAATTTTGGTATCAAATCAAAGCTCAAAAGCTTTCGATCACTGTAAAACCCTTGTTGAAAGTTTTTCTTAAATAATAAAATAAATATATGAAATGATGATAGGAGGGCATAATTGCCCTGTTGCTCAGATCAGAAGTACCTGTTTTATACTACCAAGCTTCCGGGAACCAGTGTGCTCTAATATGCCATTAAAGGTATGATATTTTTCAGCACAATTCAGGACAAGGTATAATTTTACTATGAAATGACTGCCACTTCATTTGAACTAAGATAAAAAGCTTAAAATTGCATTATTTAACATAGAAAGCAATGTACTATGAATTAGTGGTTTTATTCCTTCTATTCAGCAACTGCTCTTGATCAGCTTAACTGAACTTTGTGAAACTTTCAATGAATTTCACTCATATAACAAGCTTTTGCACCTCTTGTTTCCTTTTTTCATTTGAATGATTTTTTGGGGTTTTCTTTCAGATGACATTGACTTCGTCATATCTGCAAACCTTTGTCAACATTTGAATCAGCTTTTACACGTACTCCTTATCATAAATTAATGAAATTTTTCAGAATCTTTACCATATAATGCCATTCTGCGCCTCTCATTTTTTTAGTCTATTTTATTATATTTGGGGGTTCCCCTTACCAATTCATGGACTTTGCCATTGCTTTATTTGGGGTCATTGTACCCATTTTGTATTTGCCACTCCTCCTAAATCCCTTATTTCAATTTATTGAACATTTCTCCCAATCTTTAACCATATAATGGTATTATGCATTCACTCTCTATTTTGTTTTCTTATCAAAATCCTTTTTGGGTTTCAGTAACCTAAGCATGGACTTTGCAATTGCCTTATCTAGAGGCATACCCATTTTGTATCCACAACTCCTCCTTAACCCCTTATTAAAACTTTCTCACAAAATTAAACTTACAATGCTATTGACTGCACCTCCAATTTTGTTTTTGAATCAGATTCATATTCACTGTTTCATTCAGCAACTCATTTGCACACTGCAGTTCACATTTATAACCCCTTCTGCTCCTAAACCCCAAATCAGAATGTTATGAAAATTTCTCCGAATTTTCACCATACATGTAATTTAATTTTTTATCTCAGTTCTGTTTTTTGATGATCTCCCTTACCAAAGAATGGACTTTTGCATTGTCCCCAGTATCTCTAGACCATGGCATGACAATTTTTCTGACCAGAAAACACCTGGAATTGCACAATCAAAGGTCCCATTATGGTCACGTTTTTTCAGTAAAATGCTTAATTATATTGGACATCAAATTTTTAAGCTCTTTAAACCATTTTAACAAATTTCATCGACCAAGATGGCATTAAATTTGTAATATGAGAATGATGCAAAAACCAAGACAGAAATTTCCAGATATCACCAAATATTTCTATAACAAAAATGGTTGATATTGTATATATCTATTTGGAGTATTTGGTTAAATACCGGGGTACTCAAGATGTATAATCTTATAAAAATTCTCTAGTGCTGCATTTTCTTTTTCAGTCTTATGGAAATGGCAGGCGCTGAGTATGCAGCAATGGATTAGTTTTGATGATGTAAACCAAACAAAAATAGAGCAAGCATACAAAAAGAAATCTAAAACATGTGTGATAGATATGGACAATAATAGGTACAGTTGATAAGTGCAGTGTTAGATTTGATATTATAGCTATTTTGTGCATTTTTCCTTTGATCTTTTTTTGTGATAATTTTTCATATCATGCTACTCGCTTGAGATGGAAAATTATCGTCGGAAACTAAGGGCGCACGTGCCGTTGTCAATGTAAACATCAACGACGTCATAGGCAAAATAGCGGTAAACAAATTATCAATGGTCTTTCAAACTCGAGGATGTTTCTCGACCACATCTCCTCTCAGGGCTGTCGCCCTTCAATGAGATTGTAGCTGAGAAACACCATCTCGTTTGAAAAACCATCGATAATCTATAATTATTGTACTGTGGATTCATTATTATTCATGGGATACCGATTTTTGTGGATTTCATTGGAATAGGTAGACCACGAAATTAAGTGTTCAATGAAATTCAAATTTTCTATAAGTTAAAGTTTGTTAGCAGACTTTTGGAAACCATGAAATCAAGTATCAACAAAAATACATTTTTTACGTAACCCATGAAAATTGGTACCCACAAAAAATAAACAAATCCGCAGTAATATTCCCTGTAGAATATAACTTTACAGTAAGCATCAAATATTCCCTGTTATTAAATGATATGATCAAATTAGACCCAATATAAGATAAATCAGTATGTGCAAAACTGTGTTGCCCTTCTGATATTGATACAGTTTTTTTATGCCCCCGCCACTAGGTGATGGGGGCATTAAGTGTTTCCCTTGTCCGTCCGTATGTATGTATGTACGTCCCAAAATTGGTTTCTGTTCTCTAATCTTAGTTTGCCTCAACCGAATGTTATGAAACTTATACACAATGCTTATTACCATAAAACACAGATCAAGTTCGAATTTGGGTGGAGTCACTTTTACAGTTCTCTAGTTATGTCCCTTTATAACGTTGTATGCAAGCGGGGGTATCATCTGTGTCTTATGGACACATTCTCCATTTATTTTCCTTTACGAGATAAAATTTATTGTGATAGCATAGTTTTTAGATGAAAAAATCAGAAATCACATCAATACTGAAAAAATGTGTCGTGATTGAGAAAAGAGGTTGAATATTATTTTCTGTACCTGCATAACTGTAGGTTTCATAGGTTACTTGAAGGCTTCACATAAGAATTTAATAAAGCTTTTATGAACTGATTGTTTCTATATTGGCCCTGGTACAGACTTTTCAGCTGTATTGTTCCTCTATTCATCCAATTTCTGGGCTGATACATCTAGCCTTTAAACTATACAAGGACCAATACAGAACACCAGTGAATAACACTGTAGTATTTTGCCCAATGCAATATTGCTTACAAAAGATGACGTCATCATTAGGTATATATATGATGTTCTTGTCATTTAAAAAAAATAAGTCTTACAGAATAAGGGTTACTGCCTCAATTTTGGTGAATATTAACACTTGTAGAATATCAATTGCACTAACAAGCATAAGTGACACAACATTTTTCTCAGGAAAATATTCATGAATGTAAGTGCAATAACTTAATGATTTTTAAACATAGATATTGGCGTTTATGTATAGAAAAGTGATGCAAATATTAAATATTTTCATTACAGAGCAAGAATTGTATTTGATAAAGGACACATGAAATTCATGGGAGAAGATAATATTATTTTACCTGTTAGAAGATTTGATGACAGCTGACAAATGGAAACGTTAGAACAATATTTTAAATTTGATAACAGCTCTTAGTATACAGCTGAAATGATACCATGATGTATACAAAGTTGTTTAAGTACATGTTTTTATCCTGTCCATTTTCTTTAGATTATGAAAATATTTTTGTAGGATTTTTAAATTTGTTAACTGAAATGTAGATCACATAATTTACATGAATGAATGTCAAAAAAGAAGTTTTTCAATTTGTAAAATGTGTGCTTGCACAATTTGTTGTGATTAAGATTTTAATAGGTAATTTGATCTGTAGCATACTAGAAAACGTTTAGAAATTTTTACCTTTTTTAAAGGAGTAGGCCCGGTAAGACCCCTTTTTGGCCCCAAAATATAGCATTTTTACAAATTTGTCAAACGTTAAACTTTTATCTAATTATTGGAAAGAAGAATACTTTTGTTACATAAATATGGGCTGTTTTTTTATAATACAATGTACATGCATTAGGTACTAGCATCATTAATTCATGCAAAATTACTGAAATCTTCACAATTTTAGCATTTGTGCTAATTTCTAGACGGTTTTTGTCTAAAATGGAAGTGGCCGCACTTGTGTTCAGTCTTCATATTTAAATATATGTTGCATCGGATGATAATACATAACATATATAAAGGTTGAGACTGAACATGAATGCAGCCACTTACATTTTAGACAAAAACCATCTGAAAAGTGACATTTTATGGCATATTTGATAGATTTTTTTCATAATAAGCTTGAATTTGAGCATCTTTAATGACCAAATGAGTTCAAATCTTGTACATAAACTAATTGAATCGAATGAAATGGACACTTTAGTGTTTGAAAAATGTCAAAAATCTTTCATCAGATGTACTTCAAATTTTAGGCCAAAATTAGCCCTTACCGGACCTTCTCCTTTGATGATTGTTATTTCAGATCTACAATGCAGAAATTTTTTATTAGTCCCCTTTGCATATTGACATTCAAGTTTTTAACAGTTGTTTGACATTAATGAAAGTGTATTATAAATATAGTAACCTCTTATGCAGTGAAAAAAAGGCAAACTGCATGTAAGCAAAATAACACAATGAAAATTAACACTTTTTTATTTGGTGCACTTTTGTACACTTAGGAAGTAACTAATCATTTCAATTCATTTGTTGTTGTCTGGTGAAATTATTTCGTTCACTATATTAATACAACTTGATGACCTTGATCAAAATTAATTAATATCTAAAAATGTTAAATCCTGATGACCTGGGGAAAATGACCTTCTCAGTTTTTATATATTTTTTTATTTAAATGACATATATAAGTGTTTCTCGTTTTTCGTTTTTTATATAGATTAGACCGTTGGTTTTCCTGTTTGAATGGTTTTACACTAGTCATTTTTGGGGCCCTTTATAGCTTGCTGTTCAGTGTGAGCCAAGGCTCTGTGTTGAAGGCCATACTTTGACCTATAATGGTTTACTTTTACAAATTGTGACTTGGATGGAGAGTTGTCTCATTGGCACTCATACCACATCTTCTTATATCTATATATGCATTTTCACATCCATTTCTCATCAACTTCCTGTTACTTATAGCCGGGTATCATTTGTGATCTGTGGCTTACAGTTCAACTTGTTAACCTTGCAATTTGGTCATGAAAAAAAATGCATTCAGATAAATGAGAAAGTTTTCTGTCGTTTATCAAAATATATGTTCCAGAGAGTGCCATGTTTGCTGCAACCCATAGTAGAACTTTGGGGGATTTGTAGGTGACCTCTTGAAATGTGAAATTTCTGAACCTTTCAAAATACCCTCTATTTACAGAAATGATCCTTCCCTAATGTTTAGTGAAAACTTTAATATATTTACTCCTGAACATTATGCAGAGATTAATCAATCAATATAAATGAATGTTATTGCTTACCATATTTTGAATTTGTTAGATTTATATGATGATTGTTTGCTATGTATATTAAGTATGGTCAATAGTCAAGAGATTAATAAAAAAGTAAACATTGAAAGAAATGTATACACATTCAAGATAAAAAAAAATCAAGCATTATCAGTAATTGCTCAAAAGAAGGATATTAGAAATGATTCATATTGATATATCATCATCATCAGAATACTATATCACATGCATGAATAGTGCACTTAATTTATAATACATATTTATACTATTTAAGTCCAGGGTGTTGTGATTATGAGTGTGTTAGCCTCAAATTAGCAATGAAGCGGGATTGATCATCAGCTAGACTAATCCAAACACTTTTGGGGTATTTGCTGCTCACTCTCCCCCAAGCATGAAAACAGACTGGTTGTCTCAAAGTCATGATAACGTGTCTTAAGAGGGGGACATGTCTTCCTTTGAAATGATACTCTGGGAGCTGGGCTGTTAAAACTATGCTAATGTCAGATTAGTTATCAAAAAAGTGCTTATGGGCACTGAAGGGGTGTAAGGATAACAATGTATTCAGCAAAGATCTGTAATTTAGCAATATTTTTAATTGAGTTCTCCCCCTTTCTCCATAATTATAGATTCAATCACTATTTAGTGTAATTAGTTTACTTTTGATAAATGGTTTTCCAGACAAGTATATGAGTATATTTATATGCACTAAGAAATTTATACAGAAGATAGCTGAAATATAGCTTACCAGTAGGAGACTAAATAGAATTATGATTGCTTTTTATTCAATTTTTAACCAGGAAAGTCAATTTAATCTTCATTTTGTAATATATTTTATCATCCAGAATTAGCATGTGATATTTGCCACTGAGCATAAAGAAGCCATCAAAGAGTCAATCATTAATTATTACTATGTGTTTTCTCATTTAGGCAAAAAACAGTGGTAGTTTTGGTGGGCTTTTTTTTTTTTGGAGGGGGGGGGGGCACTTTATGTATGTAATGAGTAGTAGGAATGAGCCACTGAAATAGGTCACTATTTCAAGCTTGGTAATATATTATAAGGCCCTGAAATTAAGATGAAATATATATAAGGTTGCTTATCAAATCATCAGTATCTGAAACTAAACAATTTTGGTATTTTTCACAGATGTGATTTAAACCAGTGTCGTATTATTATTTTTAATACATCAGATATTTGTCAAATCTATTTATGTATCCATGAAAGCATAATATTGATAGCTATTGGTGTTTTTTTTTTGTTCAAAAATATGTAGATTGTGATTCAAAATATATGAAAAGGGTATAGTACTGGATTTCTAAGGCCCTCAACTGCTTATCCCTTCCAAAAAGGGATGGAAGTTCCCACTTTAATTATATAGAAAGTAAAACAATCTTTTATGTGATTTAATGTCCTACATATATATGTTACATAAGAAACATTGAACTATACTGTAAATTCAGAAATTATTGCGAGGTTTTTATTAATGCGAATAATGCGAGTGGATGAAGATCACAATAATATGAACTCGCATTTTGATATCTGATACTTATATCTGTATGCAGATTTTCCTGAAATCGCAATAATTAACCACCCATTTTAGTCAATTCTTCAAAAATCGCAATAATAAATGCACACAATAATTTCTGAATTTACAGTAGTTATAATAAAAGTAATTATTTTTTATACATATATATATATTGTTAATCAAGATACAAGATGGGCATTTAACAATCATATTACTGCCAAAAAACATAATTTGATCATGTTTTTTTTTATTGGATCCATTGTATGCCTGCATCCTCATTATTATTTATTTCAATCACCAACATAGGTGTGAAAGTAAGAAGAAAATGATATAGATACAAGTTTTTTTAATAATGTATGCAGAGATGTCATGTATGAGTTACCATTGTAAGATTCAGTATATAGTCTCAAAAAATCTAGAGTTAAATTTGATTCAAGATCACTCTTTAACACAGATAATTTTCAGCAAAGTACTGGGAATTTGATAGGTTTTAATTATTTTGTTAATACCCACATTATTAATGTTTTTAAGCTACTCTTTAGCAATTTTCACATTGTCTAATGTTTAGCTGATTACCATGCCTCTATTGCTTGTAAAGTTAATGTAATACAGTATCAAAAATAAAAGAGTTTTGCTTATCATCAAGAGTTTATATTTCACAATATAGCATGTACGACTTGTGAGCTTGATTTGCCCTGCAAAATTTGTGTGAAGTGGTCTGATCCTTTAAGTACCAATGTTTGTTTTTTTTTCTATATTCAGATTGTAATATCTTGATTAATCAACTTCAATTGATGATTATGAACAGTTTGTTCAAGTGCAATTTTTATACGACCGCAAAAAATTTTTGCGGTCGTATATTGGTATGACGTTGGCGTCGTCGTCGTTTGAAGACACATTGGTTTTCGCACTCTAACTTTAGATTAAGTGAATGGATCTCTAAGATTTTACCATAAGGTTCAATACCACAAAAGGAAGGTTGGAATTGAGTTTGGGGGTTATGGTACCAACAGTTAAGGAATTAGGGGCCAAAAATAAGCATTTTTGTAACTTCCAGACATAACTTGTGTGTTAGTGTATGGATCTCTCTGACATTGTACCACAAGGTTTCATATCACACAGGGAATGCTGGGATTGATTTTGGGGGTAATTGCCTCAAAATATTAGGAAAAAGGGGCAAAAAACAAGCATTTTTCTAGTTTCATGACAATAACTTGTGTGTAAGTGTATGGATCTTTCTGAAATTGTACTACAAGGTTCCATATCACAAAGGGAAAGCTGGAATTGAGTTTGGGGGTAATTGCCCAAAACGTTTAGGAATAAGGGGCCAAAAATAAGCATTTTTTTAGTTTCCAGACAATAACTTGTGTTCAAGTGTATGGATCTCTCTGAAATTGTACCACAGGGTTCCATATCACACAGGGAATGCTGGGATTGATTTTGGGGGTAATTGCCTCAAAATATTAGGAATTAGGGGCCAAAAAAGGGGCAAAAAACAAGCATTTTTCTAGTTTCATGATAATAACTTGTGTGTAAGTGTATGGATCTTTCTGAAATTGTACTACAAGGTTCCATATCACAAAGGGAAAGCTGGAATTGAGTTTGGGGGTAATTGCCCAAAATGTTTAGGAATAAGGGGCCAAAAAGGGGCAAAAAATAAGCATTTTTCTAGTTTCCAGACAATAACTTGTGTTCAAGTGTATGGATCTCTCTGAAATTGTACTGCAAGGTACCATACCACAAAGGGAAGGCTGGGATTGAGTTTGGGGGTGATGAATCATAAGGGGGTTCAAAATATTGGGGGGGGGGGGGGGTTTCCTTTTTTTTCTTTTTTTCCTTTTTTTTTCTTTTAAAATTTTCCATTTTAAGTTGGTTATTTCTGTTTTATATTTAAAAGCAAATAATAATGATATGGTAGGAGATACACACCAAACAGGATGTGTAAATTATTATATAATAAGTATTGTGCAATAGCAAGAAATTTTCAATTGCACAGTATTGCACAATAGCAAGAAATCTTCAATTGCACAGTATTGCGCAATAGCAAGAAATCTTCAATTGCACAGTATTGTGCAATAGCAAGAAATATCCAATAGCACAATATTGCGCAATAGCAAAAAATTGTCAATTGTACAGTATTGCGCAATAGCAAGAAATATTCAATTGCACAGTATTGTGCAAAAGAAGATACTTCATATAAATTGCTTATTTCTTGACCAATTTCAATGGGGTTTTATTCTTGAATTCTTGGGGTTCTTGAATATGCTGATTCTAACCGTGTATTAAGTTTTTGGATTTTGGGCCCCGCTTTTAAATTGGTCCACATTGAGGTCCAAAGGGTCCAAAATTAAACTTTGTTTGATTTCTTCAAAAATTGAATTATTGGGGTTCTTTGATATGCCGAATCTAACCGTGTATTTAGATTCTTAATTTTTGGTTCCGTTTTCAAATTGGTCTACATTAAGGTCCAAAGGGTCCAAAATTAAACTTAGTTTGATTTTAACAAAAATTGAATTCTTAGGGTTCTTTGATATGCTGAATTTAAACATGTATTTAGATTTTTGATTATGGGCCCAGTTTTCAAGTTGGTCCAAATCGGGGTCCAAAATTAAACTTTGTTTGATTTCAACAAAAATTGAATATATGGGGTTCTTTGATATGCTGAATCTAACCATGTATTTAGATTTTTGATTTTTGGGCCCCATTATCAACTTTGTCCACATTGAAGTCAAAAGGGTCCAAAATTAAACTTAAAAATTAAAAATTAAAATTAGACCACATTCATTCTGTGTCAGAAACCTATGCTGTGTCAAATATTTAATCACAATCCAAATTCAGAGCTGTATCAAGCTTGAATGTTGTGTCCATACTTGCCCCAACTGTTCAGGGTTCGACCTCTGCGGTCATATCAAGCTGCGCCCTGTGGAGCATTTTATTTACACATTGTGTGTTAATTTTTTTATGAAATAGGCAGCCATACAGTATGTGTATACTTTTATTAGCATGTCAGTTACAAATTAAGAAATACCTTTAAGAACAATATTTGTATGTAACACTTTTGAATTGTTTTACATTTTGTCTTGTTTGGCCTTTTTAATAAAAAAAGTTTTATAGTTGATGGGATTTGCTCATTGTTGAAGGACTTGCAGTAGCCTACAGTACAGCCTGGTCATTTTGAACTCTGGTGGATAGTTGTGTCATTGCCAATTGGTGTCTTCAGGACAAGTATATACATGAAATAAAACACTGAAGAACAAATTTTGCTGTTAACCTGGAGTAATATCACAATAATGGTTGTTATGACGACGTTATCGATAAAAATAGGAAGTGAAAGTGAAATAAAAATAGTTAAGTTGAATAGAAAATTAATAGTCAATTAAGTTATAAACGGTCTGTATAGTTTTATTGGAGGTTCCTAGTGGTATTTTTATAGAGATGATGAAAGTGGATTATAAAATGTTTAGTTTAAATTAATTTCCCAATTGGAGAACACCTCACTGGTAATTCTGTACCAATTCAACTGGCTTCGCTCTAGGAGGTACTGCTTCCAATTGCGTCGGGAATATTATGAAATGTATGATCGCCGCTGATATTTGGAATTATAAAAATCGTGGTAGATCTGTAAATAATCAATTTGTTTGTAAAATGTCCATGGATCAAGCTTGACTTCATAATTATATTGTGTGGTTCCTGTGGTTCATTCTGTTCTTGTTCTGTTCTCTTTTCTCTAAATGGGTTGCCTGGTATCCCAAATTATTATGACTATGTGTACTTATGTGTTGTGTGTTTGTTTTCTGTAATAGAGGGCTGTGTATTTTCCTGTGGTTGCTTCTGTTCCAATATTTCTCTTTCTTTCTTCTGGTGGTGTGTAAAATTTTGCGATCATTTTCTGGAAAGGATCAAGAATCTTCGGAATGGTCTGTGTATTCATTCAGGCTGGTTGGTCGTATAGTACCACACAATATATTTATGTACCTATATATTTATGTATGAAACATGTCGACCTAATAAACCAGTGCTATGCGGTAAAAATTTGAGTGTTGTTGTCTTTTGTATCGACATATTCTTATTTATTTTAAGCCAACTGTGAATACCTAGCAGTATCCACTCGTTTTTACCCTACCACACAATCACCGCTTCAGGTGTTGGTTTCACTTATAGACTAACAGTTTTTTTTTATTGTAGTTAACTTTTATTCTGTACATCTACACTAAGGCTTTGAGATGATGTGTGGTTATAGAACAAAAAATAAAGTAGCAATGAGAAAGAATATGTAGTCATTTTGTCTGTGATTATACCACCATTTCTTTTGATTGTCTGCTCCAAACGACATGTATGATTATTTTTCTAGCATGCTAAATTGAGTATTGTTATCAAAGCAAAAGGTTATAACCTCAAATTAAAACAATTTATCTTTAAGTTGTCTGTTTTCCATTTTTACTTCCATCAGTTGTGTTAAAAATGTGTGCTTACTTTGTATTTCTAGTTTGTGTCTCAATTTTAAATTTATGATTTATGTTACATTCTATTAACCTATCAAACTTGTTTTATTGGTACAAATGCAGAGTTTGATCTAATCTGATTTATGTATGATGATGCCTTCTCTTCATGTTGAAGAGCTGTAGTTGATCTGCAAGACAAATTTCCTTCAAATATGCTATATTCTTTCATTTTTTTATGAGCAGTTGAAAGTTTTCAATCTTTTTTTTCACTTTTATAAACTGATATCTAAGAGAGGCAAAAGATATCAAAGGGAAATTCAAACTCATAAGTCGAAATCAAACTGACAATACAGCCATGGCAAAAAACAAAAAACTGCTTCGCTGAGCGCAGCTGGATACGCCCGCAGAGGTCCAACCTTGAACAGTTGGGACAAAAATGGACACAATATTCAAGCTTGATACAGGTCTGAATTTGGATTGTATTAAATATTTGACATATTATAGGTTTCTGAATAAATGCAGTCAAAGAACTTGAAATTGGTTATATGAATTGAATTTATATTCAATTAAAGATTTCTTGCTGTTGTGCAATACACTGTGCTGTTGCGCAATACTTAGTAAATCTGTTGTCAGACTATAAACAATTAAAGTTCAATTAATTCTCAATGTCATATTAGAAATTTATGAACATGTAAAGGGAGCTTACATCAATAGATATAAACAATTCACCAAAGTTTCATGAGAATTGCTGACAGCATTTTTGAGTTATTGTCCGAAAACTGGAAAATCCACCCTTTTTTATACGACCGCAAAAAAAATTTTGTGGTCGTATATTGGTATGACGTTGGCGTCGATGTCGGCTTCGTCCGGCGTCGTCCGAAGACACATTGGTTTTCCCACTCTAACTTTAGTTTAAGTGAATGGATCTCTATGAAATTTTACCACAAGGTCAATACCTCAAAAGGAAGGTTAGGATTGATTTTGGGGGTTATGGTACCAACAGTAAAGGAATTAGGGGCAAAAAGGGGCCAAAAATAAGCATTTTTGAAACTTCCAGACATAACGTGTGTGTTAGTGTATGGATCTCTCTGACATTGTACCACAAGGTTCCATATCGCAAAAGGAATGCTGGGATTGATTTTGGGGGTAATTGCCTCAAAATTTTAGGAATTGGGGGCAAAAAAAGGGGCAAAAAACAA